GGTCTGCTTGTTTTGTCCTCACCAGAGTTTGATTGACTGCCTGAACAAATCAGACTAAACGGCCAAATACACCAGAATTCGTTTGAAATCAACCTAACATGTTAATTGGGGAAGCACCCAAAGGGGGGAGTTGCTACAGGCGTGGCCGCTGCAAAGACAACTTGGCAAAGCACGTTGTGCAAAACCACTGATGTGCCTGTGATGAGGGCTGCTGGGTGATCAGTATGAAAAACAGCAAGAACAACAAAAATGGACAACAACCTCTTGTTGTTGGTCTCTCTCTCTTATACAAGTAACTTACATGAAACTATCACAACATGAGCTATGGATCCCCCCTGCCCCTCCCTCTGTTCTACTCATCTAACGGCATCAAAACCGAAGGGGGTGGTAAAGTAGTAAATCCCACGTTTTGCTTGATTTCCTAGAGAAGAGCGTACACTAGGCGTGCCGTACCATAGAAAAACAATGGTTTTGCTGGCAGCAGTTGATGGAAAAAGTAGACGGACTGATAATGAAAATAATCTGTATGTCCTTTGGTTGACAGGCCACGGGCTGAGGTTCAAGACCAAGGCAGAGAAACAGAAAGCCGAGGAGGACGGGAAGAAGGAGGGCTCTGCGGTAGAGACGGAGAGAAGCAGCAGCTCCCCTCAGCCTCTCCCAGACCCACGTACAGAGCTGCAGGAGCAGCTGCTACTATGAGCAGAACTGCGGCTATCTCTACAGGCACAAACCATACTCACAGCACCTTCCAAACATGTTGATGTCAAAACACAAAGCAGGTTCACGCAACATTTCAGCCATCTTGGTCTTCATCATGTTGTCTTAGCTGATGAAGAATAGTTGAATCCAAGTGTTGATCACAGCTGTTGTGTGGACCTGCTTTTGCTGGTGAAAACAAGCGGTCGCGTTCGTTCGGGCAACAGAGAGACGCAAGCAGAGGTTGATTGGACCTCCAGGTAGAGGTCAGTTTGTGCATGTAGAGGTAGCCAATGATCAGTCAGGACACACAGCTGCTAAGTAACCTCGAAAACAAGTGTTCTCCAGGGAGAGACTGATGAAATATGGACAAAGACCAAAACCTGAAAATAACAAAAAAAAAAAATGATCTGGATGTCCAGGATGATGAGCTTTTTAATTATCTCTTTTTTTCCCATTTTCTTTTGGGTTGGACGAATTTTATTTTTTAGAGTTGGAACATCATTTTATCCAAAGTTGTTACTGAGCAGCCAAAGTAAAACCATCCAGAAAGTGTCATGGAGAAAATAGCTTGTCCTTACAGGTTTTATTTCTCTCCCTTAAGGTCCTGGATGTGGTTTTTAACTTATTAGTTAGCCTATTTATTTTGGGTAAGGGTTTGCCTGTAATGCATTGACTCATGTATGTGCCTTTTTGATGGTAAGTACCACTGCCTATCCAGATATCAACTTGAGCTCATGAGGGAGATCAAAGTGGTGCTCCACCTGCTGTTGTGCTCAGTGACCACACACCCCAAAACAAACGGATTTAAAGGTGCTACCTGTATAATTGTGTAGACAATGTAAAAGAAACACTATGACATTTTGGGAAAGATGTTTTTGTGTCACTTGTATATCAAAGTCATCATCAAGTGTGTAACCTAGTTAAGCACAGAGATTAGAAGCTTGTCGACATATTATGACACAGATGACTTTTGGGTGTGTTGGTTTTGGAGGACGCCCGCTGTTTGTCGTGATTCTAGTCTTTGTGCTTAACTAGACTAAAAATGTTCGACAGACGGGTAACTGATATCGATCCTCTCATCTGATTTAAGGCCCCTGAAAACATTGGTGTGTGTGCGTGCGCGCGTGCGTGCGTGTTATGACAGTAACCTGCTAACATAAGCAAACAACCTCCCAACTGTCATCAGATACATATTCGGATGTTGGTCATTCTGATTGGTGCGCTGATGTAGATGACATCACCTTTTTTGAATGCATCCTGGCCCATATTAAACCAGTGAGAAGAGCACAGAGGGAAACACACATCGGACATTTCTTGTTCAGCAGGGGCGGCACATTTTAAACTATGTGAAAGGCTTAAGTTCAATGAAAAAAGACATGTATTTGGAAAAATGTCTGAATTTATTGATATTTAATGCTACCTTTAGGTATTTCTAATCAATGCTTTACTAATGTGCCACAATAATGTAATGTGTTTGAGTTCAAACATCTTCATTTGTGTGCTTTTCCAACCAAATATTGATAGATGTGACTGCCCTCCCTTAAACTCTTCTATCTGGCCCTAGTGTGAAATAACCAAAATATGTTTTCGTGGGCTTTAAACACATCAAACTCCAACGTGTTCTGTATCAACAAATTGCTGTTACCATGGTAATCTTAACTAGAAAACAATGACACCATCCTCATCACGTCTTGTAGCCACTGCCAACCTCTCTCCATTTTTACATGCGCCACCTCAGGCTGATGTGGCTCCTCTTGTTTCTGCATCCATGAATGATCCTGTTTTTATTGGTGACAAATACAAAAGACATGAGACATGAGGATTGTTCTGTTCTTTCGACTTGCTTTTAATATTGATTCTTCAGCTCAGTCCTGCAGGATCAGCAGCTGGATCCTGACCCAACCGCTTCCCGGCTTTCCTGCAGCGTTTGATGGCGAGGTCGCTCACCTCGCCTGAAACGGGCCACTTCTGCTAACATCATAAACAATTAGTGCTTTTTCTAAAATGAGAAATCTTAAAAGAGCTGAGGCACTATTTGAGCAATGTTCTCTTGGCTTTCAGAACAAAACATGTTCACAAAGTGTTAGTGAGTGAGTCTTTGTCATAGGAAGAAGTAAAATGACTTAAAATAAAATACAATACAAAAAACAAGTACCACTGCCAACCAGTAGTTTTGGGTACTAAGAGCTAAATAAACTCAACTAAATGTGTCTTGTATCTGTAGAAGCAGAAAACATGAGATAGCAATTTAAAGGTCTGTTATAAATGACAGGTAAGAAATGCATGAACCCAAGAAACACACCAGCTTCTACCCTCAGGCTGCTAGGTTCTCTTCATCATACAAGTTAGTATGACTACATTTTTATCTACTTTTTAAAATAAAGGGAAATATACCTACAATTTTACAACCCTGTGCTGTAAATGATAAAATAACCTTGAATGCTTGAATTATATGCTCTTTTTTAATGCTGTAACATTGGATACATATATAGTACAACAGTAATTGGTCTTTGGGTTTAGACTCATCAAGAGTTTTTTTTTAGACTGATATTTTTTCTTTTTATACTTTTAGAAAAAATATGTTCCTTTGCTTAATATTTCAAAGTAAAAGCATGCTGGGGTACCCTGGTTGCTCACCTGGAGCTGGCTCCCCATGTATCTAAGCTGAGTCCCTGCTGCAATTGCCAGTCCAACCTGTCCCCCTTTCCTGTCTGTCTTGAGCTGCCCTGTCCAAAAAGGTAAAGGCACCCAAAAAAAGAAAAAGTATGGTGTTATCCAAGATAACTTCATCCAGGATTGACATATCATTCACTCTACTTGCTAGAGCTGATGTGGCTGGATGAGAGTTCTAAATAACTCTAAACAACATACACAGAATGGAACAAATAAAAAACTGCTGTACCATTTAACATTATTTACCAGAATGATAAACTCTGCTGAAGGCAAGCATTTCCAGCTATCTGCTTCAACATCAGCAACATGTGAGTCTACGAGCTGCTTATCTTCACACCCAGCACAGCCTATAAGTTACAAGTACTATCACTCTTTGCTTTATCTAAATGCGGAAGCCAGTGCGTTGACTCATAAGTCAGGCTTCTTTCTGCTTTTATTGCAAGTTATTCAGAGGCCAAGTGTTATTAAAAGTGATTACTAATATATATATATATATATTTATATGAATCCAAACTTAGCCATTTAGGCCCCTGTTCACCCCTGGTTCCTCCCTCTCTGAAGCATTGTGTCCACATTTTGTTGCCTTTAAGTATGTATCAGGTCCACTTCCTTATATGTTGCCCAGAGACAGAGAAACTAACCCGTACTCATATTGTAGTGTGCTAGTCCTGCCATAGGTTTGTTGTTTGTCAGTGTTGTGTGTCAATTGGTAATGTGACTCTCTATCTCAGTATTAGGTTAAGAGATAACCCCATATCTACCTGTTCCATTTGTACTATATGATGTCTTCTGTGTTGTTATTGCATTACATCAAATAAAAATATTGTAGCAGTATGGTTTTCTCCCTGTTGGAGCGTCACTCTAACACAGTTACACATTCCTGAGTTGTGGGACAGCAAACAGACAGATAGTGTGGTGAGATGATCATGTCCTTGGCTTCTTAGTGAAGTTTCAACATCCCGCTGTTTGCTTGTACCTAGAGTGTAGTTAGAAACAGGGCTAAAGGTTATATGCATATAATAGCCTCTTTAACAGTTGCATATGGTTTTACAATGACCAGGTCAAAGGGTTGTATAGGTTCTTAAAAATTGCCATTACTACCCCATTTTAGCCAAACACATTCTTCTTAGTATCTTAGCATTCAGATCTTTTTAGCTGCAACGCTGCAAACCTGAGTTTGTAAGGACAGACAGAAATGGACACTCCCTCACTCACTTAAATTGTATTATTGTATTGATTATTCTGTTTATATTGATCCTAAAGTGTTGTAAGTCTGTCTTATGCTGCTCCATGATGGAACAGCAAGGAAACTTGGTGGTATTCTGGAAATGTAGTTGGACCCTCTGCCTTTATTCAAATTTAGCTGATATAGCCAACACTGATTACGGTATGTAAGGTTATTTATTAATGAACGGATACAAATTTGGCATTTGAAGATAGCTAGATGGATTCTTCAGCTGATGGAAGGGATACATGTGTGAGAGGAAGAGTTGGTGTGTTCTGCTGATGAATGAAGATGTCTGATTTTGTTAATGTGCCTGAAAGATGTGGACTCTAATGTTAGAATGAAATGCAGTGTTCCTGTGCTACATCCCAAATTCTCCAAAAACACACAGTGACACTGAAACTGATGCTTAAAAGCTTTAATGCAGAGGATTTAGTCGACCAAACCAGAGTTGATGTTGAACCAGTGTAAAGGACAGTTCAACAGGAGGAGAGAAGCTATAAAGAGTTAGGCGGGCTGTCAGGCGAGAAGACTGGACATCTTCAACTTTATGGGCGCTAGCGGCGGTGGATGTAGTCATTGATGAAGCGCAGATGTTTGGACACCTGGGTGAAGATGCCAGGACTGCCTGGAAAAGTACAACCGTTGAGACTCCCGTAGCTCATGACGCCCGCCTGCACGAAGCCACTGCCTGCACGACACACCAGCGGGCCGCCGTAATCCCTCTTTGGAAGCACAAAACACTGAACACATACACACTGAATGAGTGAGTCTGTCCACTTTGGATTGTTCATTTCTTATATTTAATTTTCTTCTTGTTCCTGCAGTGTGATGTTTGATCTTCGCTGTGCAGAATGAGGTCTGTGGAGTACTCATTCTGCAGTAAAATGGGACCTAATTTATTATTATATATGACATTATTGGATTGTTTATACAGATGCATCAATGCCTACGTAGTATTTTACTGTTCAAGGTGTTGGCTACTCTATGTACAGTTAAGCAGTGTAGGCCCAGTGCTTCTGAGCCCAGCAGGGGCCATGTCTGTATCCAAGAGACCTGTTTTTATGTTTCAGCTGATAGTAAAAACTCACTTTGCAGGTGTCCTTCTCTCCTGCCATGTTCCCTGCACACATCATGTCAGCAGTCAGCTTAGGATACCTCACCTTACACACAATCTGAGGGATAATGGGAACCTTCAGCTGCTGAAGGATCTCCGGATCCAGCAGTAAAGCTGCAAAGACACACACACAGCATCCTAGTTATTGCCTTTTTGTTAATGAGAATTTAAAATTGAGATAGGCGGTGTGTGTGTGTGTGTGTGTGTGTGTGTGTGTGTGTGTGTGTGTGTGTGTGTGTGTGTGTGTGGATTCATTTGTCCTTGTGTGTACTTACCATAATTCCCAAAGTTCCCCCAGCGAGTGAACCAACACTCAGAATGAATCGAAGGTGTCGTCGACGCTGGGCAGACTCAATGGGGCGACATTCGCTGAGAATGTAATCTTTCTCTTCAGCCTAACCAGAGCGATGTCGTTCACGTAGCCATTGCCCACCGCTCTGTATTCATCGTGACGTATGACATGAAGTATGGCCATGTAACGTTCAGCTGCCTTTTGCAGGTTGTGTGAGCCGACCCAAACAGCCGATCGACGCAAATCAGCCTTAAGCTTACTGGCAACACAAACACACACATATTATATATATTATATATTGTTTTCTGCGTTGATAGAAGATCATGGACAGTAAAAATCCCAACACACACTACACATTTGTATTCTAACATGCCAGTAGGTTCAGCAGAAGTGACACATTTAAATATTAGGTGAACACAGTGGAATTTAGCAGCAAAAGAGATAGATATTTTTCTCAGGAGTTGATGGAGACCAAAAACGGAGCTAAAAGACTGAATATTGGATATCAGGTGGCTGCAAACAGAACTCCAAATGACTGCTGTACCGTTTAACATTATTTACCAGAATGATAAACTCTGCTGAAGGCAAGCATTTCCAGCTATCTGCTTCAACATCAGCAACATGTGAGTCTACGAGCTGCTTATCTTCACACCCAGCACAGCCTATAAGTTACACGTACTATCACTCTTTGCTTTATCTAAATGCGGAAGCCAGCGCGTTGACTCATAAGTCAGGCTTCTTTCTGCTTTTATTGCATGTTATTCAGAGGCCAAGTGTTATTAAAAGTGATTACTAATATATATATATATATATATTTATATGAATCCAAACTTAGCCATTTAGGCCCCTGTTCACCCCTGGTTCCTCCCTCTCTGAAGCATTGTGTCCACATTTTGTTGCCTTTAAGTATGTATCAGGTCCACTTCCTTATATGTTGCCCAGAGACAGAGAAACTAACCTGTACTCATATTGGTGGTGGTATTCTGGAAATGTAGTTGGACCCCTTTATTCAAATTTAGCTGATATAGCCAACACTGATTACGGTATGTAAGGTTATTTATTAATGAACAGATACAAATTTGGCATTTGAAGATAGCTAAAATGGATTCTTCAGCTGATGGAAGGGATACATGTGTGAGAGGAAGAGTTAGTGTGTTCTGCTGATGAATGAAGATGTCTGATTTTGTTAATGTGCCTGAAAGATGTGGACTCTAATGTTAGAATGAAATGCAGTGTTCCTGTGCTACATCCCAAATTCTCCAAAAACACACAGTGACACTGAAACTGATGCTTAAAAGCTTTAATGCAGAGGATTTAGTCGACCAAACCAGAGTTGATGTTGAACCAGTGTAAAAGACAGTTCAACAGGAGGAGAGAAGCTATAAAGAGTTAGGCAGGCTGTCAAGCGAGAAGACTGGACATCTTCAGCTTCATGGGGGTTTAGACCTCAGCCGAGGCTTCCTCGCTGCGGTGGATGAAGTCCTCGATGAAGCGCAGTTGCTTGGACACCTGGGTGTAGACGCCAGGGCGTTCTGGGAGACCACAACCGTTGGGACTCCCATAGCTCATGATGCCCACCTGCACGAAGCCACCGCCTGCACGACACACCAGCGGGCCGCCGTAATCGCCCTTTGGAAGCACAAAACACACACACATACATGCTCACTGAGTGAGTCTGTCCACTTTGGATTGTTCATTTCTTATTTTTAAAGCCTCACTCTACTCAGAAATCAGTTGTTCTTCTTCTTCCTAGAGTGTGATTTTGAATGATGTATGTGCAGAGTTTGACACTAAAAGAAAGTTTTCACAAATAATACCAAAGATAATTTTGTTTCATTTGTTGTGGTGTTACATTTAGTGAAGAATTCACTATGACTTGTTCCGGACTCGAACTTTATGAATTGGGACAACTTTCAAAGTTCAAAAAGAGCTGATTTTATGTTTCAGCTGATAGTAAAAACTCACTTTGCAGGCGTCCTTCCCTCCAGCCATGTCCCCTGCACACATCATGTCAGAAGTCAGCTCGGGATACCTCGCCTTACACACACGCTGAGGGACGATGGGAATCTTCGCCTGCTGAAGGGTTTCCGGATCTGACAGTAGAGCTACATAGACACACGCACACACACACACACACACACACACACACACACACACATAGAAAGAAGTGATATTTCTATGGTTAGGGCTGTATTTATAGGATGAGGTTTTGACAGATAGTGGGATCCATGGCCTTTAAAAGAGTTAAGAAGTTTTATACTAACTCTGTCAATAAAAAAGCAGCTGTTTAGCTGAGCTTAGCAGAAAGACTGGAAACCTATCAAACACAAATCATTTTTTAAAGCAGAGCATTTTTATGTCTTGGACAGGATTAGAAGAAGCAGATTTGATTTGTAAAAGTTTTCTGAGGAGTCGTCAGCAAACAGTCCAACATAAAAAAAATGCAACTTTACGATCAACTTTATAAGTTGTTGTTGAGCTATTTCCCTAAAAAAAACATTTGAGCAGATTTGTTGAGAATATAATTGAAACAGCTAATCCAACTATATGGACATCCATGGGGAAGTGGTAGGGTACTTCGATTCATGACCTCAGTGTTTCTAAAGTCTTGGTTATTGCCATTTTGTCTATGAGAATTTACAATGCATGCATGCGTGTGTGTGTATTCATTTGTCATTATATGTGTACCTTATAGGCTGCTTTATATACAAAACTTACCATTAGTCCCAACGTTCCCCCAGCCAGTGATCCAACACTCAGATGATGAATCGAAGGTGTCGTCGACGCTGGGCAGACTCAATGGGGCGACATTCGCTGAGAATGTAATCTTTTTCTTCAGCTTCAGCAGAGCGATGTCGTTCACGTAGCCTTTGCCCACGGCTCGGTAGCCATCGTGACGTATGACATGAAGTATGCTCATGTAACGTTCAGCTCCCTTGTGCAGGCTGTGTGCGCCTACCCAAGCGCCCGATCGACGCAAATTATAGTCAAGCTTACTGGCAACACAAACACACACATATTCATTGTTTTCTGCATTGATGGAAGATCATGAACAGTAAAACTCCCAACACCCATTTGTATTCTAACATGCAGGTAGGTTCAGCAGAAGTGGGACATGAGTTACATATATACGTATATAACACTGCCTTGTTTTTCCATTTGACTGGAAAGTTATAAAGCTATAAAAAGCCCAACTGTAGTCTACCTAAGTTACTGAGCACCAAACAGGAGACACATTTAAAGACTATGCAAGTGTTTCTTTAATGGCTTGTTTCTGCTGCCCCCAAGTGGCCCAAAAAAATCAGTTACAGCAGGTTTAAATAAATCTAACTGGCTGTCGCCTCATATCTTGCAAATGCTGTCCCACATTAGAGGATCACACAAGAGACTAGAATGATTAAGTGTATCTAGCTGTTAAAGCTGTTACATCATATCATATCATATTTCAGTGTTCAGAGATGTATTTATTGATTAGACAACAGTACACTTGTACTTAGTTTTGTTGTTATATATATTATTAATAATTTTCAAAGGCACTGTACATTGACCATTGATTAAGGTATAACGGATAAAAATGCATTTTAAAGTACACAATACTTTGAAATTAATAATAGTTACGGCCCCCAGTGCCTTGCTAATAACGTGCTCACTTTTGCTGAACCCCCACATTAAAGTCCATGGGTTGCCAACATGTTGTCAATCATATTACCCTCTGTTGGGCCATTAAAGGCAGTATAGTGGCATTGATACACCTACGATGCCTACAATACTCAAAGGTCTCGTTACTATGGAAGATTGTTAGGGTCATGTGAAAATAAACACAAACACTTACGGATCCCAGCAGTGTGCAGCAGTCAGCAACCACTCACTGTTGAGGATAGTGGCGCCACAGCGCCACTTTTTGATACCATCAGACGTGATGTTTAGGTGGACCATCCACGGCCAGCTGCCCTTTGCAGCGTCCTGCCCTCCGACGATGGCGCTCCTCACCTCAGCCCCAAACAAACCTACAAAAGCAACAATGTGAAAGGTTAAAGGTGTCCTGTGGAGTTTCTGGAGCAGTGCTGCAGGCAGTAATGCATTTTTAAACACAGTGATCAATCTGAGATGTGCAGCCACCACCATTCGTTAAAGAAGTGCCAGTAAATATGATTTATAATTACAAAGCAATTTTACTGGTTTTGCCATAATAGACAAGCTTTTGGCACCTCATCATCTGTAAAAGTGTTTATCAATAAATCAATATCAAAGCATAAATTCTACTAGTAAGAGTGGTCCACAAATTAAATAAATCAACACATTATCTTGATACTAGAATAAAGTTCTTAAAATGTCAACAATGATGTCTATCTTTCTCACCTCCGGTGCTGTGGATGAGTACCAGCGCAGTGAGAAGTCTGTGGAAAGCCATGGCTGTGACACAGTGGATCAGAGGCTCTGCAGACTGCGAGTTAGCAGCTGCAGGTTTATATGCACAAGATCAAATTCTTATCAGCACTATCAGCCTTCCTTTTTCCTCTCAAACAACGTGTGGAAAGTACACGTACAGTTTTAAGGTACTGGTACTTTGCTTTAGTAATTCTCCTTTAAAGCTTTATACTTTTGCTCCACAACACATTGGAGAGAAATATTCTGCTTTTAATTCAAAGATGTATCTCAGAGTTGTTGTACTGTTGGTTATAAGTCCAGGGCATAGAATATGATCAATAATAATAATAATAATAATAATAATAATAATAATAATAATAAAAGAGATGATAATTATTATTTTTTTATTTTATTAAGATTTTGTCTACTCAGACTACAGTCCTATATGTTGTTGTATAACACTTTATTTTTACCTCCCTAATTTATAGGCTGTATATAAACACTCAAATGATGATGTAGTAGAATTTAGTTTTAATTTAGTCTTGTCAGCAATCATCATCACTCCTCATATGAAGCATTAGTAATGATGTATAAATTGTTAAAGAAAACTTGATAACACAGTATAATGTGGTTGCATGATTACACACACAAACAAACCCTTACAGTGTGTTATAAAGTAGGCCCATTTATTAACTGTGCAATGTCCAAATCACAGTTTACGGGTGAGTTTAAAACTGTTCATAAGGTCATGAAGACACGTTATTATAAATAATAATAACAACAAGTATGTTATAATCTGTTATCCATAATATAATATGCAACTATGTAACATTATGTTATAAAGCATTTACACTAGTTATGGATGCATCATAACAGGAGTTATAATTGTCCTTGTATTTGGTTACAACAATATAGTTTATGTTTGTGTTATTTTTGACACAAACACAAAAATAACACACACAGTGTTACTGATCACAGTTTCTTTAAAGTTATTCTACTTTTGTATTGTCGTGTTGTTTTTCATTTTTGTTTTCAATTCAGTTTAGTTTCAGTTAGTTTAGTAGGTAGGCTCATTTCGGTGTGTTTCCGCTGATCTGACCACTGGTCGCTGAACTAAGACAAAGGACAATAATAATGGACATGGATTGATACCATTTTTTGTTACTTTTTAGTGTGAATCGTGTTTTTTTTTTTTTTCACCTCATTTTTAATTTACTTTACGTTAACTATAACAATATATTAAATGATTGCCTTTGTGATATTAAACATACTGTAAACCACATAGGGATAATAAACGCGTAACAAAGATTGGGCTACTATCTCATTTTAAATAACGTTAGCGTCACCGAACGGGAACCTTTATGGTTGCTTTTGTTTCCGCGGGAATTTATTTGTACGGAACACCGCGTTTCATGTGACGTCTTTAAAGGTAACAGAATTGAAATAGGAGCTGAGTGTTAGCGGGGAGCTAGCCGTCTGTGGCTGTGGGAGCTCTCTAGGTCCGTAGCATCCCGTCCACGATGTGTCCTGAGTGCTTGAACGGTTGTGACGGTAACTGTTAGCGCGGTTGTTACGGTAACTGTTAGCCCGGTTGTTACGGTAACTGTTAGCCCGGTTGTTACGGTAACTGTTAGCCCGGTTGCTCGCTGTTGTTTTGTTGTGTATTTTCTCCGGTGCCCCGTTTGTAAACATGGAGCAGGCAGCCAGCGTCAACGCAGATCCCGTTCAACGCTCCGACAGCAATGGTGGGTCTGTCCGCTGTGTGCTGTGTGTCTGACTTTACTGACAGATGTCAGATTGTAACACATTATTATTGTTATGTGAGTCGCTAACGGTGTTGTTTATCTGTTGTTTGTTTACAGGTCGCTCCACACAATGGCGCAACTGGAGTGGATTTTGGTGAGAGTCCAGAAGTGTAGTGTTAAAAACCACGGTTCAAATACTGAGACAAATACTATCATGCTACCAGTTTCCATGGCTACAGTAAAGTGTTAACAATAAGGTGACAACTGCAGAAAGCCAAAGCCAGTATTAGACATGAAGGGAAACGAATGCTTGTCAAACTAAAGTCGAACCGATGAAGCCCACAGCTTCCTGTTACTGACTGTGAACAGCTACATATCACACTCCTACATCCACTGTCACACAGATGGAAGGAACAGAAACCTTGTGTGTGTGTGTGTGTGTGTGTGTGTGTGTGTGTGTGTAATTGGTGTTTAAGAAATGAAACTCCTGACATCTTTTGTTGTTAAAGAAGCAAAAAGAAGAATTATTGTTCCTTCAAAACGTTTCAGATCATTTTCGGTTTAAATAAAATCACACTGCTTTTCTAAGATTCTGGTTGTTTGTTGTGCATGGCCAGGTCCTTATACAGGTTTATAGTGGCTTATTCTACAGTGAGGAGTATACAGCATATAAAAACATTTTAATGTCTATCCTGAAGGCTTTGTGTATAAATGTATGAACATTTTTTATTGTTCAAACTGCAAAAACAGAACTTAAAAATAAAAAAAAGATATGCCAACAACTTTAACATTGCTTCCTTTAGTAAAATAGTTTCAAGCTCTATAAACTGAAGGTATTTAAAATAAATGTTCTATTGCACAAATAAGAATCCCATGTTGTTGTGCCATGGTGTTTTGCCCTGTTAAAGGCAGTCAGTTATAACTGTAAGAAGGTTACGCAGGTAACAGGCCTCCCGTCTCAATACAGCTGCTCTGTTTGCCCCGACGGAAGAGCTCTTCACTCCAAAAAAACAATATGGCCTCCGTTTGAATAGCTGCAGCAGTTGTTTTAGGTTTGGTTGTATATGAAAGTGGTTATTGGTGTCATTTTGAAAATTAATGATAATAAACACCAACTGAAATAAGTCAGAAAAAGTGGTGTCAAAAAACTTGAATTCTGAGCATTGTTTGCCAGTATTTTTCTCTTATATCTCCTCATGTAATTTATATTTTGAATGACTTTTTCATTTAGGAAAGGTTCTTGTAAAGACAACATTTAACAAACACTTATGACTGAATGTGTTTAGTCAAAGAGAAGCCTCTCAGCCAGTGTCTCAGTTGTCAGTTATTGATCCATCTGAATCTGCTTACCCTGTGTTATCTGTCCCCTCTTGTGATTATCGCCTCAGGCTCCTTGGATTGTGCAACAACTTCGCGTATGTGGTCATGCTGAGCGCCGCCCATGACATCCTCAAAAGACAAGAGTCAGGAAACGCCACAGCATCTGTAAGAAGGCCAATTTGTACTTTGATATTATCTATCAGCAGTGACCCTTGTTGTTGCTAAGGGCTTGAAGCTTTAAAGTGTGTATAGACATAAAGATATAAAGCATTCATTTACACTTTTTACCGGTTTCCTTCTTTCTCCCCAGAATTCAGCCACTGTGGCTGTGGATTTCCAAGTTGGGAACAGTAGCAACAGTAGCCGCTATGACTGCAATCCTGTCTCTACTGCGGTAAATGGTTTCACTACACAACACAGAGTAACCTTAACCACACTGGATGGCAGTGAATTATTAGTTTCTCACTCTGAGGTTCTGTGAAAACATCCAATAAAAATAAAATGAGTAAACAGGCACTGAAACTAAAAACCAGCTCAGGGTTCGAACAGGTGCTGGAAATCTGCTGCTGCTTGAAAACACCACATTAAAATCCAACTGTTTAAGGTTTGAAAAGTGCTTGGATTTTGGATAAAGTGCTTGAAAGTGCTTGAAGTTGTAATTGCATTACTTTCATAATAATTCTAATTAAAATTATGTGCAGCTTTTCACCACGGCAGAGGCTTTCTTTTCTAGTTTTAATCTAGAAATGAAAGGCTCAGAATGTAAAATACATTCAACTCCCAGTACAGCAGAATCCCACGTTGTTACGAGACTAAATAGCAACGTGAAGTTTGAACAGAGAAACACAACAATGAGGGAATGAGAGAGACATATATAAAATATATTATAAAAAATATCACACATAAATGTAATACTTTTCCTTCCTTCCTTTAAAATATAAACACTAATGATTTAAAACCCCACTCTCTTGGACTGAGTGACAGCTCTGGTGCTTTTCTCCTCAGGCTGTGCTGTTAGCGGACATCCTCCCAACACTCGTCATCAAGCTGTGTGCTCCCTTTGTGATCCACAAGCTGCCTTATGGGTAAGACAGAGCGTATCATCAAGTGTAAATATCCAGCAGTCATCCCATCACAGTAAGGTGGAGGTTACTTTGGTGCCTCCCTTTACTTTCTGCCACTACAATCTGATATTAGAGATAGGACTTTATTCCAAACTCTCCCTGTTCCCTGGTTAATGCAATGGTGGGATTTTATTTAAGAGATGTGAAGGAAGTGTTCAGTTTCATGGATGTTTGCTCTTTAAAGTGGAGCCATTTTAGTACACAGCACCTGAAAAGGACTTCCTGTTGTCTCGGAGACAATAATAATAGCACCTGGGACACAAACATACAGTGTTACAGTATACAGTGGGATAATTGAGGGGCAGTAGAGATATTTGTTATTACAAATGAAATTCTTATTTTTATGTGTCCTGGAATATATATCATTTTAATTGTTTTGTGTTTTAATTTAAAAAATGTATGGTGGCACGAGCTGTTCGAGCTCTACGCGCATGCTTACACGCACACTCAATCATAGAGAGTCAGTGTTGCAAAATTACTTTATTTCTAAAAAGCGACTGGCATCAAAACAAGGGTAAGAAATATATTCCGATACATTATGTTGTAATTTATTCCCATGCATGCTGCTCAGTGTTATTGTAGTCCACGGCTCTTCTGCCAACAGCACCGGGGTCTCTCCCTCTCCTCTTGTGCTGTGTGCTGGCAGTCAGTGGGTGGATTGTTGTGTTCCTATAGCTTACATTTAAATAGTTTATTTGAGCTTCTCCCTCCCTTTGTAGATGTTTTTTTTTGTTTTTACTTCAAATCGATGTCCATGTAATGAGTTTGTGATTATTTGGCTAAATAATAATAATAATCAAAGTGTGTGTGTGTATGTAAATTTCCATCACTGTTGCATTTGCAGTGGTGTTACTGTTAGAAGTCAACAAGAATCTGTAACTCAGCCAGTGACTTAAAGAATAATGAAAACTGATCGTAGCCACACAGCTCGGGTCCTTTAAATGTTTTATTAAGATTTAAGTGCAGGGAACAACTAGCAGAGCTTCCGTGGCAGACCAGAATGAGTCAATGGAGTGATGCGAGTTACTGAAACAAAGTTGCTAAACTATGTTTATTTAATGTTATTGCACTACATGAATATTGTATTGTATTGTAAATTTCCTGCCTAATTCCTGTTTTTCTAGTTTCCGAGTGTTGTTCTGTGCCATCATGGCAGCAACAAGTTTCCTCCTCGTGTCCTTCTCCTCGGCCGTGTGGATGAGCATTCTAGGTAAAGATGGCTTTTTTAAATTATTATTTATTTAGTCATAGCTTTTATCATTATTGGTGATTGGTTGATTATTATCATTTGCCTCAGTTACATTTCCTATCATCTTATCACAACGCCGTAATTTCACAGAAATATGAAAGCATTTTAGTCTTATCATGACTCGCTGCTAGAAGTATTTATCACCATGCTAAGATTGATCAGTGAACTGATATTTATTTGTGTAATTACAGACTTCTTTGAACTTTGGACTTTAAGAGAAGAAGTCAAATTAATCTAATTAAGCAGTCAGTCAGTAGTAGTTGGTATATTTGTATTAGGCAGCAATAGGTTTAAGCTTTGATACCCTGTCCTCTTCCTCCTCAACACAGCCGATGTCATTGAGGACAACATCACAACCTTCCTCTAGTCACTGTGTTGCATGATATGACAGACCCCTCTGTAGTCTGCAGAAATGTGATTACATTTACATTACTCAACTGAGGACTCTGCAGGGGGCCCACTGACCCTGTGAGCACTCGACAGACAGGGCCTTTTTAACCCTCTAGGAGGCCCTGGGAAAAACAGTGAGCTATGGGCCCTTATTGCCCTCTCACTGCACTTCATACAAAAAATACAGTTGATGATACAGTAGGAGGATGATTGATTAGTGCCTGAAAGCTCCCTATGGAGTAAGCTATTGCTCTCACTATATTGATGTTATAGGTAGGAGTGAATGGTTTTGGAAACCGCTGAGTTTGAGTAAATGTAAGTGTTGCAAGTTCATCTGTTAATTTACTGAGCTAATGCACTGGAAATAGACCTTACCACCCACCATGGATCTTTTTGTTTCAGAGTTGTTGAGCTAATAACATTAAAGGTTATATATACGATTATTAGAAAATGAATATAGCAGAACACAACTATTTGCTGTGTAAATATATAGTGCATATATAGTATCTATTTTGATCCCCGAGCATTGTTCTCAGGGCTGGCTCAGTTGCAGTTCATCAGCAAGTCAACTGTCATCATTTTAATTAGATCATTAAAGAGGAAGATCCAAAATTCTCAAGCTAGACTAGGGCACTGCGGGGTAGTTGTGAAGTAAACTGGCATAGAGGAGGTAACATGATCTGATCTACTAACACTGATGATCTATAGGGGACATAAATGATTCAGGATTCATTTCACAGTTAATTTAATGTAATCCTTCTACCTTGTCAAACAAAGGAATAACCCTCCTAGTAATTAGCCCTTTTCTTCCATTCATGAGCATCTCTGTCCTTCCCCACCTGGCTCACTCAGATGAATGACCCTCTCTACCACTGTGTTTCTAGGAGTGATCTTTGCCAGTATCAGCTCTGGGCTGGGAGAACTGTCCTTCCTCTCTCTCACTGTCTTCTTCAGCAGGTAAACACAAATTCCTTCCATAAGATGAGATGACTAGATCTAAATTAAACATCAGCAGACGACATAACTTTGAGCTGTACCTGAAGAGTAAGGTATAGTCTGTTAAACAGTGGGACATTATACAATACTGCATATAGGAAGCACTCTCAAAAACCATTTCAAAAGTGAGAACATGTTGTTAAAAGACAGCTAGTCTTACATGCTTTACTACAACTTAACTTATGACCCTTTATAACCACATTTCTATATTTGACATTCTACCGTCCAGATAAAGTTGTGTTGTTGCTTTGTGATTCAGTTCTTTGGAAGCCTAATTCTGCAAGAAATTAAACAGATTCAATTTTAGGAAAGACATAAATAACAATATTAAGCATGAATAAAACAAGTGATACTGAGAATATAAATTCTGATTGTAAATTGAAATTAAAAAAATTACATCTTTTTTAGTAAAACATTATTTTTTTTTAAAAAAGGTCAAATATGATGGTGGTTGAAATAAATAAAAAATGGACGCAGTGCAAAACACGCGGCCCTTATAATCAGCAGAAGCTGCTACACTGACCACTGAAGCATCTTTATTTTTACGCTGGTCGGTCTGTTTTTTTCTGTATGCACAACTACGCAGTCCTCTAACAGGTAAAAACTGCATACAGCTGTGTAGTACATTAGTGCAATCTGTTTAAAAATGTGCCTCACAGAGGCATTGTGATACACAGTGTATCCATATGTGGATCCAGTCAGTTCATTCAGTGCCAGTTAATATATTCCAGCAGTTATGTAGAGTTGGTCTAGCAGTCCATGTGTGCGCATGTATCTGTGTATCTCTGTCATTTAATACACTGTGCTGTGTGTGGGAAAGATATTGAGTTTGGATTGTAAACACTGGTTTCCCACCTGCCTCAGGGATGTACTGGGAGGTTGGGGCTCAGGTACTGGTGGTGCTGGTGTTGCAGGAGCATTCCTCTATGCAGGCCTCACCCAAGTCGGCCTGTCACCCCAGACTACACTGCTGATCATGCTGGTGGTCCCGGTTGCTATGTTGATTAGGTAAGTGTTAGTGTTGTTAGTGTCAAATTCTGTATTGTAGAAGCACTGAAATGTCCCTTTAGTCTCACCTACTGGACTGTTTGATAGCCCAAAATCATTTCTACCATTCACAATGTGATTAAATCCAAAGAGAGAGGCTGCTCTTTATACATTCTGTTATTGGATTCCACAATTAATTCAAATGTACTGGCTTTCTGTCCTCATATTGGCCCTTGCACGTCTTTAGCTTTTTTCTCTGTTCATTCCTCTTGTTTTACTCTCAACACTAATGAAACCATTCCTCCTGTCCCAACACTACCACCAGTTATTTCATCCTGCTGGTTCCTCCATCTTCATTACCTCAGTGGAAAAGCAGGGAGACAGAATATGCAGCTGTTGGCTCAGAGGAGAGGCGGCAGCTGATGGATGAATCAGAAGAAGAGGAGCAGGAGAAATCCACCCCAGGTACATGTCCTGGGTGTTTGTGGGGTCTTAAAATTGGTGTAACCTGCCCTACAAATAATATATTGTTTTGTTAATCTAACAGCAGAGTTTAACATTAGCAGCAGTTGTGCAATGGTTTCATTTGGAAGGCCAACGAGCGGTGCATTGCCTTAATCTAATTAGATAATAATGAAAGCACATGTCAGTTTTGTGGGGGCAGGGAAAAAGTTTGATCTTAATTTGGCTTTTATAGCTTTTCTATGTTTGATGATAGATGCACTTAAAACTCTAAATGAATCATTGCATTAGGCCTCAGGCCTGCTTGTGACTTGTCAATAATCAGGTCAGATAACCTCAAGGGCCCCAGTGGGTTTATCTTGGTTTGGTTGGAGGTTGTTTGTGTGTATGTGTGCATTGGAAGAGATAAAAAGGAATCTGTATGTGGGTGGATTTGTGTGCGGTAACAGATATTAGAAGTTGCATGTTATCTGCACTGCAGTGAAAACTGATACCAGGTTTTATATGATGAATGCTTTAGCTACAGAATTAGGACTCAAGCATCAGCTTAGTTCGTATTTTCACATTCGATACTTTCAATTTGTACTTGATGTGTAAACAGGACAGCTTTGGGGTTGTTATTTTTATTTTTTTTTCACTTGATGTCCACTCTTTTAGCTCTGTTTTTGGTCTTCACTTACTGCTCAGAAAATATGTCTGTAGCTGCTGAATGCTCCACGATATTCTGCTGCAGTATATAGTGGGTTTTTCAGAGATTTTCTAAAAGACAACAGCTGCCTGCTGTTGACAAAATGTCAAAGTCAATCAAAACAGTAAAGTTTTGGGCTGGAAAACCAAAAGGAGCCAGTATTTGATGTTGCTGTCTGATCTGCCAATGCTTGACAGGAACACATTTTTACAGTTTTGGGGGTGAATTACGTAATAGATTTTTGGAAATATTCCCACTTTCTTTGGAAGAACAAGATAAGAAGATTGACATCAGTCGCAGTCTAGTAAGTAGCTGGAGTCAGTATGTGGTTACGGGGAAACGGGGAGACTAGACGTTATAAAATCCACCTACCAACACTTCTAAAGCTGCTGAAAACAGCAAATTGTGGTGGAAGGGGGATATGTGTGCTGGATGCCTGCAGGCTGTTTATTGATTTAGATTTGAGTTTATAATCATCTCTATACAGTATTTGGATGGTGGAGTGACCAGACCACAGTTTTGTTTGAGTTACTGCGACTCTGCTGTTCCTCAGGAATGATGCCCCAGCATTTGTCATTTGGTACACATTAAAATGTAATTATAAAGTACTGCTGTTTGTTATTGAATAACTACACAGATCATGTTATCTTCCCCCTGAATGTAACAGAGGACAGGACCACTGGACCTCTCACCTTCACAGAGAAACTGCACATCATCAAAGTAAGTGTACTCTTCACGTTACATGAGACTTAAGTGTTTGACTGTTTGTCTGGTTCCACTACTATTGCTCTTGATTCCTGTGAGCAGGGCTTGCTGAAGTTTGTGTTTCCTCTGGGACTGGTCTACTTTGCTGAGTACTTCATCAATCAGGGCTTGGTGAGTTCTCTAGTGGCCTCTGGCGTCACATCCATCTTACTGCTTGTTGTTAAGCTTTCCTTCTGGTATTGGCTGTATGGGCGTATGAGATGTAATGTAACACACTTAGATGTGTAATTGTGATCCTACTGAGTGACAATAATGTAGATATTTCCTTTTCCAGATGGAACTCCTGTATTTCCCCAACTCTTCCCTGTCCCACGCTGAGCAGTATCGCTGGTCGGTTAACATCACTAGAATATTATTTTGATATATTATCCCAATTTAAATATTACTGTATTTAAATTGGGTTTGGTCATTGTTGGTCATTGTTGGTCATTGTGTGTGTGTGTGTCTGTGTGTGTGTGTGTCTGTGTGTCTGTGTGTCTGTGTGTGCTCAGGTACCAGATGCTGTACCAGGTTGGTGTGTTGGTGTCTCGATCCTCCCTGTGCTGTGTGAAGATCAGGAAACTGTGGGCTCTCTCTTTGCTACAGGTGGGCAATAGAGAATAAAGTACAAATCAGCTCAAAATGGATATGTTTTGGGTTAAATGTAAGGCTGCCTGGATCATGTTGTCCTTAGAGGTCCAGTGTGTAGGATCTAGCAGTGTAGTTGCAGATTGTGGCTCAGTCGCTTCACACTCCCCTTCCAAGCGCCAAGGAGAAACTACGATGGCTGTGAATCGCACGGAAAACACCTTGTTTGGTTTGTCCTTTCTGGGCTACTGTAGAAACGTGGCGGTGCAACATGGTAGACTCCGTGGAAGGCGACCCGCTGTGTCTGTAGATAAAAACGTCTCATTCTAAGGGTATACAAACATAAAGATTCCTATATTCAGGTGATTATACACTAATGAAAGAATACCTATAAATACCTGCCAACTGCAGCGCTCTCACTCATTACTGGACCAAATTGAATGTTATCCACATTAGTCACTGTGACACAGGAATATGGCAAAATAATGTACAGTTAACTTTTAACTGCCGACATTTTTAGTTGGGTATTCCTTTATTTTCCCAAGTAAGGTTAGGAAAACACCCTGATCAAGGTTATATATTAAAAAAGTATAGGTGTAGTAACTACAGTTAATTAGGTAATTTAAATGTTATATATGTTGCTCAGCTGCCATGTCTGGTTAAAGCCACCAGATGTCACTGTTTATTTACCCTGCGGAACATCTCCTGTGGTAATCAGTGTGTATAGAAAGGAAGGTTTATGTAGTTGCTGTCAGTTTCAGTTTAAATATACAATTAAATATGCATTTAAATATTTGTCATATATTTCCCTTTGGTTTTATTATTGTTGTGACCATAAATAGTTTTCTTGAATGTGTTATTATTCAGATTGCAAGTCACTTCATTTTATGTTTTCTTTTTTTACATTTTGTTTCTTTGGAATCACACACACCTATCCTTATCTCCAACTGCACAACCCATCTGTCAATAAAAAAAGTCAGAACAGGGTCCAGTATTGTCACTGAATTGTCAGATATGCACCAGGAACAATAGAACCAGGTACAGTGATAAGACACAGAGAGCAGTACGAATACACATCGCCAAATTGGTATTTAAAAAGATTAACTACAAAGCTGGGTCATTTCAGATTGCTTGCCAAAGAGCCACATTTGTTAAGGTGTCACATTCCTGTTAAGATCCAACTTGTGACTGCGGCCCCATCTGTTCTTCAGTGCTTCAGTCTTCTGTTTTTCAGTTTGTGTCTTGTACTCTCACATTGCTGATCGCCAGGCTCTCTGCCCTCCACAGGTGGTGAATGCAGTGGTGCTCCTGTTCGCAGTGGGTTACCAGTTCCTGCCCAGTGCCTGGCTGGTCTTTGTTATTGTCCTCTATGAGGGTCTGCTGGGTGGAGCTGCTTATGTCAACACCTTCTACTTCATCAGCAAAGAGGTCAGGTCAACAGTCAGTCAGTTGGTTTGTTATTCGGGGTTACCACGTGTCATGAAATTCAGCAGCTGTTAGCTGTGAATGCAAACTCAGCACTACCTCAATGTTAACCTGTTGCCATGATACAGTCAGTATAATATAAATTTCTACAGCACTAATTCCATCAGTACAACAGAGTCATGTCTAACCTACCACTCTTCTGCTCTCACGTTCTCTGACAGAAATAGTTTACATGTGCTATTTTTTTTCCAACTGCTTTTTGCATGATCTTTTTCAAGTTACCGTGTTTCCATTAAATGTATCACACATTTTAACTGAAGTTTGAGTAATTCAGCCCAAAAAAAGGTGAATGAGTGCTTACTTCCATTTACTACTCTTAGGCGATTATTATGAGTTGGTTCATCAAGATAAGGAGTTTGTGGCGCCAGCTTTCCAGTCGGCAAACCAGAAGGAGAGAGAGTAACAATATGTCATAATTAAAAGAGCACTAGTTGGAATAAAACGGTTGAAATCAATGCAGACAACAGGATGTGAATATGACATTAACTGTTATATTAATGTGAGGTTCCATCAGGTCTGTGTGCAGCAATCGTGGGTTTGTTTTATAGCCATGAGGCGACTGTCCGAGTGGAAACAGCTGACCAGTCCTGTGGCTTAAATGTTTGCTATGTAAGAACTTATTTGGAAAAAGCAACCTTCTCCAATGTGACACTTTAAATGTGCATAAAAATACATTGATGGAAACACGGCCAGTAAAACTCAATACTTGCCTGCATATGTTTCACATTCAAAGCCTGACCAAAGGGCGTAGTCTCTCCCTTTGAAACTCACTGATGGGAGCTTAACAGAATTTAAAAAAACACTCCTCTGTTGAGAAGAGGAGAAGAGAGCAGCAGACTGTTGTGTATTAAGTGACTGTGTTGTCACACTGATAAAATGAGAGGAAATGTACATTGTGTGAAGAGTAAGTAAGTAATGAGTAATGTTTTTACCCAGCATTAATGAGTGACAAACTTTATTACTATTTGAGACTTGTGTTATGTCACATGTCTTCTGCTTTATGGACGGTTTCGTTCTGTCCACAGATCAGATGTTTATTATTGAGGCTGTGGTGGGTGGTGGTGTTGTATTTGAGTGTGTTACACTGAAAGGTGTTTCTAATATTTTGTCCACTGGCTCAAAATATTAACATTAAGCAGAATTATAACCTTTCTGACAGTTTCTGTGTTTTGGCAAAAATCTGCCAATATGATCTATATCCTGATACAGGGAATATAAATATAATTCTATATATTGCAATACTGTATGAAAAGGCAATATGTTGCGTTTTCTTTTAATCTAGTTTCAGTAAAACTGTCATAGTATAAACAACACACCACCATATACTTAATTCTGCATAAAAATGTACTATAACCAGAACTGTGTGCTCTGCATCTGTATTTATCATAGTGCTGATAAATAGCTCATTAAAACACTACTATATTAATACAGTATCACAAAACAAAAAAGTCTTGCTCTATGTATAGCTGAGGTGTGGCTCTTTTATATTCTGCATTAAATGTCTAGTGTGTGTTCATCCTGACGTCTGTCTGTTCTCCCACAGACTGAGGACAGACAGAGGGAGTTTGCCATGGCTGCTGCCAGTGTAGGAGACAGTCTGGGCATAGCTCTGGCTGGACTCGCTGCTTTCCCCGTCCACAGATACTTCTGTTCCCTATGACCCAACCCACACACTGACCAGCAGGATGAATAAGCAAGACGTGGGTGCGTTCCATTTGAAGGATTTTCTTTTTTTAATCTGAAATGAGTTAGAGACCATCTGACAAAAGCAGACTTTACTCCTACATGAAAATATTGACTCCACATACTGTGTTCAGTGCGGATTCAGCACCAGTGAGTCAGCCAGAGAGAGGAGGGCTCACTCACTAACGTATCCTTCTCACCAGCTTCCACTGCTGTTTGGAATACACACAACAGTCCCATGACATGAGTGGTTTTCAACAGGAAGGCATGGTAATAGTTAACTTAACCTAATAATGTGTTTGGTATTTGCTGGTTTGCACTAAGAACCTGTTGCCTGCAGAGAAAACTAATTGTTTCATAAAAGTCCATTGCTTGTTTTGCAGACCAATATTAGTTGCGCACTCACCTCAGTGACAAATAACAATGCACTTGTTTCCATCAATGTTTCCTGTAGCTGCTTCACAAGATATGCCTTCCTGTTGTTAAGTAGTGAACAGCTAGACAGGAAACTGTGGTTGTTTAGTAGAATTAAGAAATGCACTATGACCAGCACAGCTCTCCAAAACAAAGAGAAAATGATTAGACATAATTTTTTATTACACAACAGTTTATTTTAACAGTTTTTACTGAACTGAAATGTTTCTGAATTATGGGTCACAGTAGGACGTCTCATTTTCAGAAATAACACCTGTATTTTTATCTGGTCATGTAGTTTGAAGAGCTTGTTCTTAATCTGAACTGACCGAACACCGGACTACACTCACTTATTCACTCACTCATCTTTCTTTCTACAATAATGAAGTTGTGTATATGAGAAGGGTGAAAGTGTCTCACTGCATCTAGAACTGGCATTATACAGAGTTACCTAGTGCAACTTTGAAACAAAAAACGGTACAAATAGGTGACGACATAACAACTCGTGTATGATGGTAATGGGATATTTTTTTTATTTGGTATGAGGTATTTACTCTTAATAATGCCATTACTTTTTACATTTTACAGGGTGTCCCTGGGGTCTTAAAAAGGCTAAAATCCACTAATTTGAATTTTAGGCCTTCAAATGTCTCATATATGATCTTGACAGGTCTTACGAATTGATTTGATTAATTAAGTTAATGTTACTTTAAAGCTTTTAAATATGTTTTAAGGGGAAGAATGTGTATCGATCATGCTGTAACAACTACACAACGAAACCAACATGGAACCAATACCGATTTTCCTTCATACCTTTATTGCTGAACAGAAGGTAAAAGTGCCCCAGTAGCTGACATTATTTAATGGTGCCTTCTGTATTCTTATAACCGGGATGAATCAGGTTATTGCTGAACTAACATATGATGATGTCATTATTGAAGTGACCAAAATACTTTTTATTATACGTTTCTACCAAAGATAATAACGGTCTTTTATTTGGTGACATTTTGTATTTGTAACTGGAGCTTTGAAATCCTAATTATTTCCAATTTATTAGTGAAAAGACATTAAGAACATTTTTGGGTACGCATTTAAATGTTAACAGCTAATTTTGCCTTTGTGGTTGGTTGTTTACTTATTTTTAACCAAAAACCTCAGTTTTCCTGTTTTCTGAATGTAATGTAAATTGTCATTAATAATAAAAATAATAATAATAATTATTATTATTATTATTAAATAAGAGCAACAATGTCATAGACTTTATCCATATACACTGTCCGATGTGCACATTCCTGCTGAAATTTGAACTACTAACATTTTATATTATGCTGCTACGGTTAAACTGTCATAACTTTGTTACAACTTACAGATGGTGTTTGAAGCTTTGTGCCTGTGTGATAAAGATGCATTCAGTGTCAAATAAGGTTAAACATTGGAGTGAGAGCATTCAAATGGTTCAAACCTGTCATGTAACATACAAATGTAAATAAATGATTTTAAGAATGTGCTCTGTATTATAAAGTTAGCCTATACGATACTATGATTGTACTGTGATTATTGATTATTGTTATATATTATATCTTCATCCAAAACCGTTTTGTTCTAAAACACAACTGAGGGTTGCTGTTCTCATCAGGGCTGCAACTAATGACCATTATCATTATCCATTAATCTGCTCAGTGTTTCTCATCATTTGGTCCATAGATTGTGTACTATCACAGAAGCAGCAAATCATCACAATTAAGAGGCTGAAACCAGGGAACTATTGATTTTTACCTCAAAATTGATGAATATTTTTTTGTTGATAAACTAACTAATCATTTCAGCTCTACTTTACATGTCGTTGCTTTGTGTTGAAGGAATTAAAGAATATGCCTCCAAAAAGGTTTTGTAAGTTGCATATTCGACCACTGGCTTCCACCTTGTGATCTGCACATATATAATTTAACACAGTGAAGATCAAACATCAAAATGATGTAACAAACTGAACTGGATGGGGACCTCAATTTACCATTTTTACTGTATCATTTATTCTCAAGCTCTCCAATGTCTCAATTATGGCTTCATTTTATTCACATATAACAGGCCTCTTACTTCCCCTCAGACAAAAGGAAACAAACTCTACCATTGTGGTTGTACAGCTCTGTTTTCTGAGGGACAGATCACTGCTGCTGCGCTGCACCGAGCAATGCGCGTCCCCTACACCGGAAGTTACAGTCGAGTCGTTAGTGTTCATGAGCACGACAGGAGCGAACCGGCGAAGACGATAGTGGGGGAAGAAGAGGAGCCGGGTGGACGGCGACAGAACACAGTCCACGGAATGAAACACATTGATGTTTGTTCCTCAGAGTTCTACTTTCTCTCACTTGACGGTATTGACTCTTACTTCTGCGTCGTCGAAGTAGCGGCGTTGTGTGAATCGTTTTGGTAGCGTCTTGTTAGCACTAGCTAGCTCACGAAATTAGCCGAAGTGCTAACCAGTGTCGGTGCCCCGACAGCCGTGGTTAGGCAGCTAACATACAGCATTTCGTCAGCTAACCTACATATGTTTCTTAGTTTAATGAGCACACTACGTAGCTGTTATGTGTAGTCGTTCGGCATCGGTTGGCAGACGATATCGTTAACCTTTAGTACAAAGTCTCAAACAAAATGGTTGGTTAAGTTATCAAATAATCAGTTGCTCGCTGACGTCGTTAGCAGTGATGTAAGCTAACGTGCTAACGGTTAGCTTTCTATTTAGCTAACTACGCCCATAGGCCTCACATTCCTTGACGAATAACTAATCTCTGGTGCATCTGTATGGTATGTGAATGAACGAATCATATAATGCCAGTTTAGTACTGTGCTGGTTAAACTACTGCGTAGTTAGGAACCAGTTTAATAAAAGTCGGCCCAAGTTATCGAGGAGCAAACGTTAACTAAATGTTTCTCCGGTTACGTGATAACTAGTTGTTGCGTTGTTGCGCGTTCAGTAAAGGTTTGTTGTTGAAGTGCTAAACCGTGTTTTTTTCTCTCTCTCCACAGTCCCTTATTCTGCACATCCTCATAGCAAGAGCCTGACGTGCAAGTGTTGAATCTCCCTGTGTATGTTGTGACTGCCCGCTCCACTGCCCGGGGAAGAAACAATTCAGTGACCCCAGTGTGCGAGCGGAGGAGTGTGCGACCATAGTGTGCGAGCAGCTCTCCCTATGTGTGTCACAATGGGGGACATCAGTGACCTGGACCGACAGATAGAGCAGCTCAGACGCTGTGAGCTCATTAAGGAAAATGAAGTCAAAGCACTGTGTGCCAAAGCCAGGTAATGGATAAACTTGGCCTATAATACAGACACAGTAATACAGATGTTAATAGTGGTGTTAAATATATACTGGAGAGTTTCATCTCACTTTTTGGGTCATGCTAGATTCTGAAAGCACACTCAAAACAAATGGAGGCATAGGTAAATATTAAAACTACACACTAATTGTTCACAGTGTTATTACATTGTTAACCTCAATACTATATTGTAAGTGCAACTTTGGAATCTAACTACATTTCAAAAAAGGATTAAATGCTTTTTTGTTTTCCTACTCAGTATCATGTAAAATTGTTTGTTAGTTAGGATTAGCTTTATATTTTTTGAAGGGGAGTTCGTGTGCTATAACAAGTTTTTCTTCTATTGTTTGTTTTTGTCCTTAAGTTAAGAGCAGGATGTTGACACCAGCTGGAGCATTCAGTGTTCAAGTGTCCATACTGAATATTACAAGACACAGGCTATGATGCAGAGACATATAATAATAACTAACCATGGTTCCTTTACTAACTTTTATGTACTGGACTGGGTACTCTGGGCTATTGCAGTATTTAGGAAATATAGGTTTGGACACATAATCAAAGTAACTTGAATTTGGATGTTGGGTCATAAACCTTATAGAACAATGATATATCCCTACTGCTTTACTGGTTTATATTGGTCTAAACTTGATTATGAATGAGTATTCCATCTGCTGTTCTTTGGATTGCTTAAAATGCCATACCAGCATGTTTTAAATGCGTTGTCATGATTGGTTGATGCTGGTGTTTAAGGGATGCTACAACCCAAGTGTATTGTATTGTACAGTCATGTCCTTTGGCTTAAAAGGTGGCTGTACAAAAGTATTAAATGAACCACAGAAACTAATGAAATCAGTCTGTAATGTACACATTTGTCTGGTTTAAACACAGAAATTACATTAGCTATAATGTCAGCCATCAGCTCTGTGTGTGTCCTCTCTCTGTTGTATGCTAGATTGAAAATGGAAGAGAGACACACCAGAAATGAAAACACTGAACTTGTCTGCTTGGTGACATAGATACACATTTCTTCCTGTGTTTTACACGCCTTTGTCCACTGGAGGGCGATGCTCTGTAACTGATTTACAGCTAGATTTCCTTTATGACCAGCTGCTAGTCTTGGAATGCATCTGGAGGAAATCTAACAGGTTTAGTAGAACATGTAATCATAACTGTTGTGTGTGTGTGTGTGTGTGTGTGTGTGTGTGTGTGTGTATTTTCAGAGAGATTCTGGTGGAAGAAAGCAATGTCCAGAGAGTAGACTCTCCTGTCACAGTAAGAAACATTTTTCTATTGGCTCTAGTTTGTTCAGAATTTGACTAAAAGTCTTGATTCATAAAATGTGGTGATAATGTTTTGTCCTGTTTTTTTGTCTCCCACAGGTGTGTGGTGATATACATGGTCAGTTCTATGACTTGAAAGAGCTGTTTAGAGTAAGTTTCAGTTTCTTGTTACACACTGACCACTGCAGACTTAGTTAATTTTTATTTGTGTGTTGTGTTTTAAAGTTGGTTGGTGGTGCTGGACAGAGTTGCACGCATTCTGAACAGTATCCAAGTTCAATATAGTGAATTTGCAAAGTTGAACACAAGTCCTAAAGGATCATTCTGGTGTGTTTGATCCAAATGATCTGACCCCATTTTCGATCATAATTGTCTAAAATATAGTTTCTTACTTCACTGCGGAGGGTATGATAAATTCTGTGTACCATCAGCGCTGCCCTAAAATACACACAGAATGTCGCATGTCACACCCTAAAAACCACACCCGTCAGAGGGGAAAACAAACAATGCCACAATATAAAGACAAACAAACAGGCTGAAATGCTAACATAATGTACAAAATGTCTGTAGCTCGCTTAAAAACAGATTTCAGCACATCAAAAGATTATTTTAGCACCCAGTGTCTACCAGAGAGGAAAAAGGTATATTGACAAACTCATTACTGTCAGTCTGTTTCAGTGTCTTTTCCCCATAACTATTTTTTCTTGGAGCAATGATCCCACTGAACTGTAATATTTACAGCTTGTTTAGATAGGTCCAATCCTACTGAGAATGGCAGTGGCATTGTTTGTAATGTTGATGTGTTGCTTTATTAACATAAACGTCACAGTATATCATTGTTAAACTACTTGTTTTTAATCTTTCCCCACGACAGGTCGGTGGCGACGTCCCAGAGACAAATTACCTCTTCATGGGAGACTTTGTGGACAGAGGCTTCTACAGTGTGGAGACCTTCCTTCTTCTGCTAGCTCTTAAGGTACACAGGATTTCTTTTCAGAGGTGGAAGCATTGTACTTCTGGAAAATAGGTCAGATCCCCATGTAGGACATGCACAGGGCTTATGAAATCTGCTTGTCCTCATGTCTTTGCTTCTGCTGCTCTCCTCAGGTGCGTTATCCAGACAGGATAACACTGATTCGGGGAAACCACGAGTCCCGGCAAATCACCCAGGTCTATGGCTTCTACGACGAGTGCCTCCGCAAGTACGGCTCTGTCACCGTCTGGAGATACTGCACAGAGATATTCGACTACCTGTCTCTCTCAGCTATCATTGACGGCAAGGTGTGACACATTCTGTAATATTTCCTTCAACTACAATTACTGTAAGACTAAGTTTCTGATGTGACATTATATAACGTCCATCAGTTGGGTTGATACATTCTTCTCTTGTCCTTCAGATTTTCTGTGTGCACGGAGGCTTGTCTCCATCCATCCAGACACTGGACCAGATCAGGACCATTGACAGAAAACAAGAAGTTCCCCATGATGGGCCCATGTGTGACCTCCTGTGGTCAGACCCTGAAGGTATACAGACGACCTGTCGAGCCTTTTAAACATTGCATTGTTCAAATACTGTTGTGTGTTCAAGGAAACGGTATTTGGCATGATGATAAAATGAAAACCGGCAGCAGTGGTGGACTTTTAGTTAAATATACAGCAATACTTTTCAAAGTTTACAGCTATCTCTCTAACCCTGCTGCCATGTTAGAAGCAGACCTTCACCTGACTGATCTTTTCTCTCATAGACACCACAGGGTGGGGGGTGAGTCCCAGAGGTGCTGGCTACTTGTTTGGAAGTGACGTGGTGGCCCAGTTCAACGCCGCCAACGACATCCACATGATCTGTCGAGCACATCAGCTGGTCATGGAGGGCTACAAATGGCACTTCAATGAGACGGTGCTCACGGTGTGGTCAGCACCCAACTACTGCTACAGGTAGGGAGATACACTAAAACTCAAATAGTGAATGTACAATGTCTAAGGCTGCCATGTGTGAAAAAAGGCATTGGCCAGTCAAATACATGCAAGTGTGCAGTCCTGGTAGGTTACTTTGTAACGTGAATGGCATATTTTGCTGCTGTGTTGTAACCACAACTAGAAACAAATGTTTATGTCGAGGTCTGTTTTACGTGCATGATTGTATGTTGGTAGTATGAGTGCTACCAGAGTTCTGGTAACCTACACTCAGTTCAGTCAGTCACTGTAGCAATTGATGCGATAAGCAGTCCTGTTAATGGTGACAAATTACCACAAAGCACTCCTTATTATTTTGTCTTACTTCAAAATAAGAAAGTGTACACATTAGATGGTTTATGCCAATAAAGTGTAAACCTTGCTCCCGAAATGATAGCTTCACACAACTGCAGTTCTGCAGTCAGTTTCATCGCAGTATTTTTAAACACTGGAAATGTCTTGAAGACGTTGCAGTGTAAATACATTCATTGCTGAGTGAGACAAAGACATTTCTTTTGCCTCAGCAGGACAACGACATTTATTCTATTCTCTTCAAAGGCTCATTTTACACCACATTGAGGACAGATGTGTTTATTTACCCTCTAAATGTATTCTCTAAATGTCCTAACCAGATGTGGCAATGTGGCGGCCATCTTGGAGCTGGATGAGCATCTACAGCGGGAGTTCATCATATTCGAGGCAGCGCCACAAGAGACCAGAGGCATCCCCTCCAAGAAGCCAGTAGCCGACTATTTCCTGTGAAGTCTTTGAGCAGACAGCCATGATGTGTCGAGATCTCTGGTACCATTTCTCACCAGCCACCCTCCATCCTGCTGCTGGACGGTTCTGTCAGGCTGAACTCAGAGCAGTTCGACAGAAAACCTGCCAATCCCTGCGAGGCTCCAGACAGCTTCAGCTTGAAGAGCCGGATTTTTGCCCCACTGCCCACGCCTGACAGAGCAGTCACTGTGAAAGGTGTAGGTGGCGAGGTGGATACTGGGCCCATGACTGTTGTCACTTCTCTTCAGCTGTATAAGATGGCCATTTTCTTTCTCCCCTCGGCCTCCTTCCATTTCCATCTGGTCTCCTCCTCTCTCACTCTCTGTAGATACCTCCCTGACTTAACCTCCACCACTCTTGTAGTGTTTCTTTTCCTGACGAACATTGTCATCTAGTTTTAGAAGTTTTTGGAAGGAGTTAGACTTTTCTTTTTTTCTTTTTTCAAAAAATATGCAGATGTAGGAAGTTTCACATTTTTATCGTTTAAGAAATTCCCTCGATGCATATGTTGTGTCTTTGTTCTTGATTTTTGTATAATTGTTGCTGCCAGGATTAAATGCAAAATGACCTGTTTCCCATCCCCTTTTTTGCTCTTATGTTTCTGTTTAAATGTCATGTGTGTCACTATTTAACATCCAACATACCCAGTGCTGCTGCCCAGCACTATCACAAGTAAATACCAGAAATGTAATGACTGGCCAACAGGAGTCACTATATTCACCATTGTTTATTTTCTCTTAATTCCTTTTAATCTACAAATCTCTGTAGGTCTGTCATTTTTGATATTGTGAGAATAAAGTTTTTGTATCAATGCTGATTTTATTTTCAGGTGTGGTTTAATGATACATGCGTGCTAGACATGGTGACAAATGCATGTTGTGACATCCCTGATTCAAGTTAGTAACTAGCCCTGTGGGAAGAGTTGGGATTAAAGGGCCATTCAGTCATTTCTGAAGCACTGCAACATGACATGAACATTGCTATCAGAAGTACAAGCTGATGGTGTATGCCAGTAAGATTTTTCCTTTTCATTTCCCCACCTTTTCTAGGGTTCCTGTTTGGGTAAACCATTAGTCACACTCCAGCCCAGACTGAACTTGACTCAAAGTGGCTGTTGCATGCTTTCTATCACAATGTGATTAATTTATATGCGGCAGTCTTACAGAAGAAGACAATGGAGAGACTGATGGAGACGTACCAACATGTACCACTGTCTCAAATATAATGCCAATAATGTTCTACAGTAAAATGATGTTGACTGTCGTACAGTATGTGCCCAACAGGTATGTCACTGTTGATGAGCAAGCCCTCGAGCAGTACAGCTGGATGTATTTAGATTTGACTACACATAACTGTCAGGTGTAAGCTGTAGGTGTGTGTGTCGCTGCGTGTATGAATACTGAGCTGTAAGTTTTCAGTGAAAGTAAACCACTGATGGCATCAACGCTTGAATGAGGAAATGCGGGTGATTCACCTGATAGCACTGAGGTCCCAAGAATCTTGAATAAGATAATAAGATAAGATATTCCTTTATTTATCCTCCTTAGGAGAAATTCATGTTGACACAGCAGCAATAGGACAAAGTAGTGCAAAAACAGAGAACAAAGAATATCACAATAAAAAATATTACTAATATTAGAAGATATAAAACTATAAATGAAAGTATATACACTATGCATTGTACGGAAGAGGATTAGGGCCAAATGTGAAAATGTAATGTTAAAAGTTACATTTAAGTTTAATGTAAATAATTCTGACTTTAAATCAAAATTATTATATAACTTTAAACTCAGAACTCAAATAAAAAAGTCTAACTGACATACAAGACAGTTAAACATGTTTTATACACATGTGTAATAGTGTTTTATGTTTTATATTGTTTAAGGTTTCTATACCAAGCATAATGTAATCACAGATCCAAACATTAGGGAATTTGGCTTTGGCTGAATTTAAGACAGTACTTTGGTATAGAAAGTGGGAATGTGGGAGCAGATTCTTGTTGCTGAGCTGATCCAAATGATTAAAATGACTCAAACTACAATGAGCCGCAGCCACTACTCGTCTGACAAGTTTTCAAGGCGAGTTTTTCAAGATTAACCAAAACCATCTCCCCTCCTATTTAAAAGAGCTCCACAGGGAGCCGATATTTCGAAAGAGGAGCAGACCCGGAAACACAGAAGCACTCCCTGTCTTCAGCATTTCTTGCGCCTGGCGGTGTGAGGAACAAAAACCCAAAGTAACAGGTAGGCTGAACACATTAAGAGTAACTGTCCGAGATTTAACTCTGTTCTGTTTGCAAAATACTAGTTCCCGCGGATGAATATCATAGCGTTAAAAGAGAGATCCTGTGAACTGCAGAGAAAGTGAATCCGCAAATCTGAGCTCATCGGGAAATCACTGGGTAACATTACACAGCCGCTTTTGTTTGTTCTCACCCTATTTGTGGCCACACACAGCTACCGTACGGTTGCATTTAATAATATTAAACTTAATGTGTGTCAAAAATGTGCATGTCAATGAATTGTGTGAGTTTAAAACTTAAATCTGTTTTGCCGCCAGTTGACCGCTTGTCTACACGTTTCAGTGTTGTGCTGTGTTTGATGTGAGCCATTGGCAGTCTGACAGTAGTGCGCGAACCTCCATTGTGAAATATCACAGTTTATATTTCTTTGCTTCTCCGTAATAGGAACTGAAAGAGTCTTACACTTGACGACATGTGATAACAATTTAAGAACTTCTGGTAAATTCGGCGAGTTTTTTCTGCACATAAGTTTCCTCTCTGTTGCGAAATAGCTTCAGACTGCTTCCTAAAATCATTTATTATCTGGTTGGTTCTCAAAGTTCAGCTTCGGGGTTTTGGTGGGCCAGTGGGAATATTCAAGGATTCATCAGTTCCATAGCTAGAGCTGCTGGATTTTTCTGTATTATTAATATGAATAGCTTACATTTTCTTTTTCTTTCAGTCTTTCTACATTACCCATAGGGTCGTGTCATCCTTTCTTTTTGTTGAGTCATTTGGACGGACCTATCTGCTCTAATTACAGTCACATCAGTGGCCTATACCAACATGTAGCATCCTGTGTGTCCCTGTGCTTGCAGGCTTTATTGGCATAGACAAGTACTATGATCACTCTGAGATTATGAACTCTGTGAATTCCACAGGGCTGCAAAGAGGTCTGCAACAGGTTGGACAGGTAGAAATTCTCCAAAGGAATCCTTAATATACGCAATATATTTAATTCATTATTCAACTCCTCTAAGTGTTTGTCAGAAGAATTATTTCATAAGTCAGACTGAATTGCTGAAATGACAATTCAACGGTGATTGTTCTGATAATCAATTCATTGTCTTTTTTTTTTTTTTTTCAAGTAAAAATTGTTTGTTTCTTTGTGTGTATGTGTGTGTGTTCCAGGTGAAAGGATGGACACCCAGAGTCAGGTTGTGGAGAGGTTGCGGACAGTGTTTAGTTCGGGCATCACGATACCAGAGCAGTTTCGTCGAACTCAGCTGACCAAGCTTATGTCAATGATCAAAGATAATGAGGAAGAGATTTTAAATGCACTGCACAAAGACCTCGCGAAGGTACGAGACAGTGCTCACGTGCCATACACAGACCATACACACACTACTTCCTTTACAACACATTATTATACATCCAAAGCCAGCCAAAGGTCTGGCAGCCTGACTTCAAGAGTTCTGCATAGCAGTTTCTGTCTGGCCCCAGCTGTTCTGATGATGGTGAAATTGAACATTTTAAACGTTTTCCTTCAAAAGGACGTTAATGTAATACTTTAACTCATTCTCCCACTGTTCTGCTGATTTTATTGAGCCTAGAAATAAATGGTGAATGTTAGACTGCTTAAAAAAAACCACTTACTTTTTTGTTTGTTTCTCTGATTGTTTCTTTATCTCCTGTGATAAATTCACACACTCAAATATTTTTTTAATATATTTTGCATGCAGACATGTTTGAAACACAGTATATAATTTGTTTGCCTGCTACAATTCAATAAGCCCTAACTTCCTTTTCTCATTGCTGTCCTCACACATCAGCCAAAATTTGAGGCCATCCTGTCCGAGGTTGATATAGTGATCAATGAGCTGCACTACGCCATCGCTAACTTCGCAAACTGGATGAAGGCGGAGTATGTCAGCAAAACTCTGGTAGGTTCAACAATGATTTATTAATACAGGATGTATTGTATGTGCATTATAGGGCTTTACTATTGATTACCATAGTCTATCAGTTTTTTAATTAACTATCAGTTAATTAGTGTAGAAACTGAAGTGCCACCTTTTTAAGTTGCTCTTTTAAAGATTTCAATAACAGCAAGCTATTGCATTTAAAAAGATGGCACATGCAAATGTTTGGTATTTTTAACTTGGGCAGTTTTTCATTTTCCACTAAGAAGTGATGTGTGGATATATTGTGTTTTCTAAACACTTGTATTACTGTCTTGATTTGTTCATTTCCAGGCCACAAGGCTAGATGACTGTTTTATACGGAGGGAGCCATTAGGAGTTGTGTTAATCATTGGGCCGTGGAATTATCCCCTGCAACTCCTTTTGTTACCCTTGGTTGGAGCCATTGCTGCAGGTATTATCCACACCCATATCACCAGAATATACAGCTGCTTTCTCTTATAGGAAACCCACAGAGAGGAAATGACCAACTCTGCAGTACCCTTCAGCTCCATTAGGGTTTTTAGCCCCTTTTAGCTCTTTGTTTTAGTTTTCCAGCTCGCAAACTCAGCTCTCATCAACCTTGTTTTAGCAGCAGTAGGCAGCTTTTTTTCTCCAGTGAAATCTCCCACTTTACATTGCCTGCCACAAAACAGCAGACAAAAACAGTCCGACTAGATGGTGAAAAAAAAGAGTTGGTAAAGACAGAGGTCGGCAGAAAGAAACACAACTCCAATTGGATGATAATGTTGCTGTGTATTCTGGTTGTGTCAATGGGTGCCTGTTTGCAAACATGTTAGCCAGAACAGCTTCCACTGCCAAGTGGCCAAAAAATGAATGAAGAAATGATTACAGCTTTAAACCTGCAATGTTTTTGGCCACCAAGGGGCAGCGGAAACCCACCAACTCAGGGAAATATCTGTCTCCTTAGCTGCTAAATGCTCCACTATGTTCACCAGCTAGTCTCTAACTTTGTCTGTCTGCTGTTTGTGGCTGAGCACATAGTGTATAGTGGATCTCTGTAGCTCTTCACTGAAAACAACTGCAGGCAGAGACAGCGCTATGAGAGTAGTGACAGTGAACCAAAACGTTGTAAAGTTGTGGGCCGTAAAACCAAAACAGCTATAACGCTCTGCAGAGCTGAGGGGGATTACAGAGGTGGGGATAATTCTTTGTGGATTCGTCACTACAATCGACTCCTTTCATATTCAAGTGTTCCATTCTTAATATAAAATATTTATTGGTGCTGCTTTAAGTTAAAGTGGTACAGTCTGACTTTATCTCAAAAATATAATATGAAGCCTCTGAGATTAGTTGTTTTGGACAGTGGGAAGTTAGCTACAGTACATTTTAAGGCTTTCCTGGTAAACTGCATTCACAAGTTATCTGTTCAAACTGAGCAGATAACTCAGCTGACTCCGTGTCAGATTCTCAGATATGACCATCTTGAGCTATCCTTGTAAGGACATTACAACAAAACAAAAATGTAACTGTACTTGAAGTCACTTTGGAATCAGCAGCTACATTTGATGCAAGAAGGATTCCCTTAACCTCTGTTCCAGTTCAAAATAGTCAGGCTGTCTCCACAAAACCTTATTAAAAGTCAGAATCAGGGGTGTGTTGCATATGCGCATGTGTAAGTGTCCATGGGTGCGTGTGTGCACATAAGCCCTGGAGAGTCGCTTCGTCTAGCCTCTCAATCAGTGCCTCAGTTCACATGGTGTCATCGCGATAACACAGCAGGTTGCCATGGAGATGTCCCTGATCGTGTCCTAAACAGAGTCAACTATCAACAGGTGTCCGTGAGGGAAGGGAGGGAGGAATAGGGCAGAGCGTCTCACTGCAGCGATCTCCTGGAGGAGTTGTTCCAGCAGCGTGCTACTGAGGGCCGTAATGCAGATTAGATTGTGATTGTTTGGGTTAGGGCGAGTAGTCGCATTTCAATAGACACGACTTACTCTGTTTGTCCATTCTGGTCTTCAAATCGATTCATTCTCCTTTGCAAAGCCGAAAACTTCTCCAAGATGTTTTCCATGTTGTGGTGTATAACCACCGTCAGTGCGCTGACAGCTCTGCTCACTACATCAATCATGTTGGGCAGCTTCATGGGGCTTTGGACTGCTGACACCATCTTCCGAATTTTCCGATACAACAGGGCAATGCCTAATCCAATCAGCAGATAGCCTGTTATCATGGTTCTGAATAATAATATAATATATAGATCCTCTACATATTCAGAACCATGATAACAGGCTAAGTCAATTTAAAGTGTTCTGGCCTTTAGGATAAAGTGAGGTTAGAGGGGCTAAGGAGATTCAGGATTAAAACAGCAATAAATGACCATAAAATCATGTGCAAACGTAACTTTTGTCAAATCAATCACTGATGTTTTAACTGACTGGATGATGATGGTACCATTTTTTACTAGGAAACTGTGTGGTCATCAAGCCTTCAGAGGTCAGTGCTGCCACAGACCGTCTGATAGCAGAACTCATCCCCAAATATTTGTCTCAGGTAAAGCAACTCTGGAGTTAAAAAAGATTTTTAAGTAGTCTTTTTCCTTTTTGTTTCTTGTTAAAAAACAAATTGTTACAATCCAAAGTTAACTGTGTAATGGTGAAATGTTTTCTTAATGACCTCCACAATATGGTATTGTACTCCAATGCCATGTATGACGTTATGGATTTTATATATGTTATAAGCTGGAGCTTGGCATAGTGAATCTGACACTTGCAGTAAGATGGGTTTTTCGTTGTGGCAGGACTGTTATGCTGTTGTTCGTGGTGGAGCAGAAGAGACCAAGGCACTTCTGCAGAATCGCTTTGACCGAATCTTCTACACAGGTAAAAGCTTCCAGGATGGATCTGATCCTGTCACAGTATTTCAGTTGTAGATACTCGTATATTGTCCATTGTACACAACAGTCGCAAGACCATAAGATAACTTTTTCTTCAGAATCAGCTCTCTGGAACAGGTATGTGTACACACGCAAGGAGGTTTTGAGGAGTTGCCCACAATTGAAATTGAACTGACCTTTCGGCTCTGTCTTTTAGGTTCACAGACTGTGGCACGCAGCATCCTGCAGGCAGCCTCAGTCCACTTGACCCCAGTGACCTTGGAGCTGGGCGGGAAGTGTCCGTGCTTCATATACGGGCGGGTAAACATCGCAGCCGCCGCTCGCCGCTTGGCGTGGGCCAAGTTTTTTAACGCCGGCCAGAGCTGCGTGGCCCCGGACTACGTGCTGTGCTCACCGGCCACCCGGGACGCCCTGCTGCCTGCACTGCGTGAGACCTTGGAGGAGTTCTACAGCAAGGAGCCTCAGACTTGTCCTGACCTCTCCCGCATCGTGTCACCCCGACACTGGACTCGACTGATGGATCTACTCGGGAGGTCCAGTGGCAAGGTTGTCGTGGGAGGAGAGAGCAACCAGGAGGACAAGTACATAGGTGGGTTAAGAAGCAGGAGTGTGAACAAAAGAGCATCAAACATGTTAACCAGGTCTTTAACTGAGGCACAGTATCTACTCATCTTTGTGATTATCATTCCGTACATGACAGTGCTTTGCACAGAAACACCGTGGCTTAGTAGGGAAAGAAAAAGCCCAGATGGTGCTCTGTCCAGATCAGGTTCAAACATAGCCGTACATGTCAGAGAACCACTTAAATATGTCACACCTAAAATAGTTAGGGGCATAGCCAGAAAAGATGGGTCAGAGAGTCTTCTGCAGATTTACATCAATCTGACGGACATGATTCCTAATGTGCTGTTGTTTAAAGAAATGTGTTTTTGGAAGGAAGAACAATTTTTTTTTAAAAATGTAAAGTAAATGAGGCCGATGGCTTGTTAATATACAAATCTTCCAAAGTGACGATACCTTTCAGTCTCCCATAATTTCAGTGTTTTATGAAAAAAGGTTTCTGCATCTTCCACATTTAAGTAAATCATTTCTTAATGTGGTTGATGTTTCTGTCATTGTGCTCTCCTCAGCTCCCACAGTGGTGGTGGATGTGGCTGAAGACGATGCGTTAATGCAGGAGGAGATTTTCGGCCCCATCCTGCCCATCCTCACTGTGGAGTCTCTGGAGAAAGGCATCGAGTTGATCAACCGCAAAGAGAAGCCACTGGCCCTCTATGTGTTCTCCGACGAATCTTCTGTAAGAACACAACTCTGCAACCTCCCTCACCATACCCGTAGAGATATTGTCTTATATTTTACATCACACTATCCTTCCCTTTTTCAAGGTGGTAAACACAGTGCTGGAAAAGACCAGCAGTGGAGGCTTCTGTTCTAATGATGGGATCATTTACATGACCCTGCCAAGCCTGCCTTTTGGAGGTGTAGGTAGGTGTGACCCATGTCCCTTTCTCACACATGTGATTAAACATTGTGCTTTACCAGTGTCTCATGAAGACTCATTGCCAGGCTCTTCAGACTGTGCGTATTTGGAAAACTGGTTATCTTGGATAAACAGAAGCTATACTTTTTAGAGTTTCAGGGAAACTTAGACAGACTTTTCAGTTTACTAATTAATTACCAACAGAAACAGTGTTACATATTTGAGATTGGAATTGCACCAATTGATTAATCTTAGAAAGAACAAAGGCCAAATCACCGGATCCTGGGAAAGCCACATTCAGCTTGATTTACTCCAAAACAGCAGGTGTGTATGCGGTTCTGTATATAGAACACTGGGTGTCTGCATAGTTGGACTGAACACTGAGAAATTTGCACTTCATATCAACTTTATATATTGTGGATGAAACTCTGGTTCACAGCCACTTTGACTATACTGCCATCTCCTGGTATGAATAATTATCTCAGCTCTTTAAGACACAAAGGGAACAACACAAATGAATGATGGCAATTTTAAAACTATTTCAACTTAACTGGCTAACACTTAACTTTATTTTAAGAGGTTGCTATATATATATAATAATTACAAACCGTATTACTACTGAACTGTATTTTTTGTGGTTGGAGTGGTGGAGTTTTGTGGGTGAAAACACATTTGTCTATTCTGCTGTAGTGCAATGGAATAATCTTACTTCAAACCTAAAGTGAAGTCAGGTCAGAGAGAAAATGTGGCGTTTAAAAGTAATTTGTTGCCTGATTTCTATCATGAAGACTGAGACAAGAACATTTTCCCACTCCACCATTGTATACATATTTTCTGGACTGGTGTAATGGTTTGTACCACTCCTTCCAGGGGCCAGTGGTTGGGGCAGTTACCACGGCCGCTGGGGCTTTGAGGAATTTAGCCACCGGCGGGCCTGCATGCTGCGCGGCTGGGCTTTAGAGAGACTCAACGGCCTGCGTTACCCACCTTACAGAGAAGATAAACTGAGCTGGCTGCGCTGGACCACCTCCCCAAAGACCAGCTGCTCACTTATGTGATGACAGGCAAGGTGTGTGTGTGTGTGTGTGTGTGTGTGTGTGTGTGTGTGTGTGTGTGTGTGTGTGTGTGTGTGTGTGTGTGTGTGTGTGTGTGTGTGTGTGTGTGTGTGTGTGTGTGTGTGTGTTACTTTATATGCAGGAAAGTGAGTGATTGGGGGATTAATCATTCTTTTTTTTATCTGTCAGGAAGGTTGTTTGTGTATTTGTGTGTATTAACATACTGGTGGCTAGTGCACTGTTTTGTGTTTTGTGCACTTTTTATCACACAGGTTGGTCTCGCAAAGCAGACTTCTATAACACTGTGTAACAATGTTGCTGTCACTAACTATAATGTAGTATCCACTGTGTCTTTAGATGATATTCTATCCCCATATTTTCCTCATTGAGTTCTTTGTTGGCACATATTTACTTTCATGGTTCAATTATTCTGGTTAGCAGAACCCAGATTATACACAAGTGTTTTATTTGATTGATAAAACAATTAAATCTGGCTCAGATGTTAATTGACAGGGATCCTACGGCCTGCTTATTGTTATCCTCTTATACTGAAATCTTTATTTGGTGAGAATGGTGTAACTGTATTTAATAGCATCATTTGACTGTCACTGTAAATCTTTTGTAATGTTTTAATCAGTTGGTTTCTTTTTTAATGTTTTGCCTGTATTTTATTTTTTTCCCATGAAATAGTGTAAATAAATTTCAACTTTTACATTTATTTGAAAGTTGCTGTTCTTCAAGAAAAGCATACAGTCCTAACGCTGCCACAGAACACTTATATATTTCAAAATATGAAATGATAATCACTAATAGGAAAGGAGGGAAACATTTTTTAGCAGAATGAAAAATACTAAGGGACATGCAGGTTACCAGATACATGTCTTTGATGGCAGTTACACACCTGAAGTTACCCAGGAATCAATGCTGTGCAGCTTCAATAACAAGACAAATGGTAATGTACCAAAGGATATCTGTTACACTACATACAGTCATACTTTTATCAACAGATCAATGCATGTCAAACATGGGGACAACACAAAAAGCACCCAGGACTAAAGAGGGGGAATATCAACATTCATATACAGTACATATGTTTTATATAATATCTGAGGCTGAGATGTAGCAGATCAGTTTACCTTCTGCTAACACCAGCCCTCAGAACTCAATACACTGGAATACTGCCTATCAATGATCAAGCTAATGGAACCTGCATGAATATAAGCACATAAATCAGGTGAAATTATTAAGGTATTTTAAAAGGTTTCACAGGATATTAATCTTCAGTGCCGCACATTCCCAGATTAAACAACACTAATAATTTGAATGCACCTTGGGGGCCAAAGGTCACATTGTAAAACCTTGGACTTTGTTTAGTCTCATTACAACTTCCCATCAATGAGACATAAACATGGAGGAACAGCTGTGTTCTGTTTGTTATGCAACACCAAACTATAATATGTGAGGAAGATGTGTGGGTATGTTTCCAGCTGTGACTAACAGGTGATGTGTTATTCTCTTTTAATATTAGTAATATTTTAAAAGCGTAAGCATATTAAAGTAGTGTTTCTAATGGGCAGCACTTTAGACCAGACGTTGCGCTGCTGAACAGAAAACAACTTTATTGAGTGGATCCAAACGGTCAGTAAATGTTTTCTATATTACAATGTCTTTATGTTTGAGCACTGCCAGCAGTGTGCTCACTGTTTGGATCACATTCTGTTGGGGTTCTTTTGATCTGTTGTTGCAGTGGACATTAATATTCTACTGAAGAAGCCACCATGCTTTCACTCACCCACAACCTGCTAATATCTTTATTAGGTCTACAGTAACTGTGAAGGTGAAGCTAAGTGAACACAGTACAGTGTGTTTCATGCTCTGTGAGTTTGCATTATTGACTGTATTTGTTACATTGCTTTTATAGAGTGGCAACAATGTAGTTTCATTTCTGTATAATCATTTTGAGTTTATTTTCTGTGTTTGCTAACTGCTGCTAATTATTAACTTATTAATATAATGCTAATGGAGTTTAATGTGTTATTATGCCTTCCCTCTGTACTTCTACATCTGGACACTACACTACGAGAAGGCAGCACACTGTTATAACATGATACAAAGTCATGTGGTGTTCATCCTCCGCTTCACTCCACATAGCCTATTGTAAGTGCTTATAATAACCTCTAACTTTAACACACCATTCTGTACCATTAATTACATTACTGTGCCAGAACACCCAATCCCACTAGCATGCTCTGTCAGTGGACAATGAGAGACAATTTAGAGTCCTTGGCAGTGAGCTCCTGCTGTGGGGGAGACTGCTCCCTGGAAGCATTCAGGCTGGCGAATGCTCTTAGACCGTGATCCTGCTGTTCATGTGGGGCTCTCTTGGTAAATGGTTAGTGGAATGCATTTACATAGCGCTTCTCTAGTCGACCACTCAACACATTTTACAACAGCGGCTGCTTGCAGGCACAGCTTCTGAAAGGTGTTCACGATTCACATCTGAAGATACCACCCAAAATAATGAATTACTGTGGTTCAAAAGAGGTAAAGGTCCAAAAGACATACGGAAGAAGAAAAAGAATCATAAGCAAAATAAAGACTGAAGATAACAATTCTTGCAGCAATCACACAATTACTGTCAAATTATTGAACTTCACTAAAACTTCTGAAATAAAGTTAATATTAATATTATAATTATTGTTACTATTATATGTACACAGTACAGACCTTTGACAGAGAAAGTTTCTCATGATAAACTCTGCTGACCCGTTGACATTCATCAACATTGGAAGACAGACAGACCAAGAGCTGCACTTCCAGAGTAGAGAGATGCAGCGAGCGGCACGTCAACTTAATTGATTCCTGTTCCCACAATCCACTCTCATGGTGTTTTTTTTCTACTTTTTAGTCCGTTCTTCCTCTCATCAAGTTTGTAACCATTGTCATTCACTCTGACATCAGGGGGTGACAATTTGACTAAGAACATTCAGAGTTTTAGTCATCTAAAAATGGACTAAAAATAAGAAGGATGAGGTTGAGTAAATATGACTAAAACTTACTTTTGATCTCAGGACTAAGACTAGGACTAAATCTGAAAACAGACAAAATTCACACTGATTTGGGGTTATTTAAATAAAATCTACTTGAATAATGTTGAATTATTATTGTGAAAATATGTCAAGAGAAATACCTGTTCTCCTCATAATGCTTATTAATAACAGAAGAGGCTTGAACTCCAATGGCCATGTGAAGGGTTTCTTTATTACAGGAAAAGTCCCTTTTTTATTCCACAAAGACTGATATTTCTGTTTATGGATATTAGTATACGAGCAATGACAACAAAAACAATTCCAATGTGATCATTTTAAATGAGATAAAGTGTGTAAATGCTGAATACTCTAAATACTTGAGAAAGATAAAACATAATTATTGAAGTTCTTTAAAATAAACATCCAACATTGAGGAAAACTACAAAATAAAAACAACATATAAAGATGGCAATGTTTGTGTTACACTTAAAATGATTTCAAGATGAATTAAACAACAGATACAGCCCAAAGGTTAACAAACACACAAAATAGAATGTCATTCTTGTTTTAGTTCAACTTCTCAAAAGGTTTTCCCTTTTTTTCCACCTTAAGACTCATTCCTATCTCTCAGTCATGTTACACAAATTCCTATTTTGTTATATTGTTGTATACATCTTAATTAACATATCTAAACTCAACATCCTACACATTTCTTTGTTCATGAAGCTTTAAACAAATGTAATAAAAATCTTTAATGAAAATATAATACTTAAAAACTTACTACTACATCTTTGAATGAATAAAAATATCCTTTTAAGCATGCAGTTTAGAACAGTTTCATGTCATGTCATTTCAGGGGCTTGACTGGGCTGGCACACAGGGCACTGACTTATGCACTTACATAAACACTTCAACTTCATCATCTTGTAAAATAAAAAATGCATCTTTTCATTAAACCAAAATATATACAGTGAACGGCCCTATCTAGTGCCAGCATTTGGGTTGTCCCTTCTGGGCTACTGTAGAAACATGGCGTTTAACTATGGCAGACTCCATGGAAGGCGACGAAAAACAGATCATAAACTCTTATTTCTTTAGAGCAGTTAAAATCTCTGGTCTTCTGATACTTTGAGTAGAGTTCAGATGTTTCTGGGTCTCTGCAGATTTTACATTTAATCCAGACTTTCAATAGCTTCTTGTTTGCTGTGCTTTCTCCATTCACTGGGAATTTCTCCTCTGCCATGGAATTTTAAGTTATAGTGGTCTTCAAGCTGCTTTTGAAATCGACACACAAACCATTTCCAGTATGCCAGCTTAGACTCATCAGGAGTAATCTGCCACGTAGCATACTTCCCTCCAGCCTTTTGATACTGTTTAAATGGAACAGTCTCATCTGAATCATGATGGGGACGGAAAGATCTATTACTTGCAACTAATGTTGTGCAGAAATTAATGACCAGTTCATCTGTGTTTCTAATGTGCCATCCTTTTATCCCAGAGGGGCGATGGAAAGGGACACTGTGTTTGTCAGGACTGTGATCTTCCAGGGTGTTGGTACAAACAGCTGCACAGAATGGACACGTTTCCCAGCAGCGATCGCGCAGCTCATCAATGAGGATTTGATCAGGCTGCAGCCTGAATTCCTCCATCTTATCCAGTGAGAGGTTGCTCATCTCTTTCATGATGGATTCAAGGCCTCTCTCAGTCTCTTCTTTCAGAAAGTCAAAATTGTTTACGTCACTGAAGTTTTGACAACAAATGGTGTCAAATGTTAGCTTAGCTTTTAGCACACTGGAAAATTCCTCCACCCACATGTTTATGTCTCCTCTCTGGGTTTTGACTTTATTTGTTGCAGTAAATAAAGCCAGACTCACCAGCTTTTTGATGTCTTCAACATTTTTCTGGAGTATTTGATGTGCTTTATGTTTGTTCTCTGTGAAGATGTATTTCTTTACTTCTTCTTTTATAAAAGTCTCTACTTGCTTCCTTGGGTGTTTGATGTAGGTGATAAAACCATCAAAGTCCTCTTTCTCTGCCAGTGACCTCAACACGTGTTTGTCCAGGTTCAACCTGTTCCCACTGAATGCTGGGAAATTGCACTTCATCTCTCCAGCGAGATCAATGGCAGTCTGGTTACAAACAGCCTCAACAGTGGAGCTCTTCACTTTTTCACAGATCAGTTCTCCGAGAACGACAGCAGACGAGTTTCCTTTGCAGAAGCTTCGGAAAATGTTGTAATATTGTGATTTCTTGCTTTCTAGATAAGTGAGTGCATCGTTGTTCATTCGGAATTTCCTGTGGGACTCTGAGAGCCAACTCCATGCTCTGTCAAATACATACAGTATGAGATCAACTGTAAACTCCTTCTTCAGAGCATATTTCCTCTTTGATTCAAATTCTGTCACTTTTGCTTTGACATTTTTGGCCACTTCTTGCAAGTAAGTTGGACTGTAGCCTCTTGTAGCTACAGGTTTGCTCTTGAGTGCATCAAGGGACTGTTTTTCAGCATCTTCAATGAGGGATCTGATCAGTTCCTGGTCTTCATGCTGAAAATACCCCTTAAAGTGATTTTCTATTTTTGTTGTTGTTTTTGAAACAAATTCAACAACACTGGTGACAGCAGTAGAAAATATTCCCTGCCCTTTTGTGTCCTTTTCCTTCTTATTATTTTGAAAGTGTTGGCCTGTATTTAACCTATCTCGGTGCTTGCTGAGAGATACATAGTGACTGTAATCTCCAAACTCTGATATTTTTTTGTATCTGCCACTGTGTTTGGATTCAGCTATCAGAGCCCATTCAAAACCAAGTTCCAAAGGGATAACTGACTGATCTTCACAGCTGATGTCCTTAATAGGTTTTGTGTCTGCTGTCAGTTCACTAACCCATCCTCTCCAAACAGAGTCAAACTGCTTTTTAAGTTCCTCTTCATCTTTTGCCTTGTCTTTTAACTGATGAGCGAGCTCTTTACTCTTTTGTAGCAGCTTGGTCTCAAACTCTGTCTTCCTGTCATTAAGCTTTTTACAAGCATTCTTCTGCTGGATAACTTCATCCAGTTTTCTTTTAACTCCTCTCACTTGCTCATCATGAAACTCCTTGATTTTAGTTTCAAATCGGCCTCGCCACTGAACCAGCATTTCTTTTTCTTTGTTATCTTCAAAGTAAGTTGTCATATCTTTTTTGATCTGTTCGTATGTTTTTTTCATTTGTTCATGAAGAAAACTGACCTCAACCCTGTCAAGTGTTCCATTTTCTATTTGGGTATAAAGCTCGTTCTCAATGGTCAACATGTTGCTCCTAAGGGCCCAGGTCCAGTTTCCATACTGGACCTCAAGTTCTCTGTACACTGCAATTTCAAGTGTGTTTTTGAAACTGAAAACAAAGTTTTCGTTCAACAGGGCATTCCACAGGTCCCGAATTTTACTTTTGAACTCTGAGAGAGTCATCCAAGCAGACTGTGAAGCTTTAGAGAGGATGATGTTCTTCAGCTCTAGGACACTCTCACTATAACCTGGATTTGGAGGAGCCATAGGTGGACTTCCCTCCCATAGTTGGGCAAAGTATTTCACATCTTTTTGTACATCAAATGCAATAACATCACTGAAGCACTCAGCTTCACAAACCTCCTCTTTGGCTGCTAGTTGGGTCATCTTGTCCAGTTTTTCTTGCAGGCGTCTCTTTCCATCCATGTTTTTCTCTGCAGCTGCAATATCTGTAACATTCTGGTGAACAAACACACAACTTGGAGAAAGTTTAACTTTGTTCATCCTCATGAACGCCTGAACAACAATCTGCAGAACATCTTGCATCTCAGCTGGATTCTCTCCAAAGATGTTGATCAATGTCATGTTCCCAATACCAGCAACGAATGTTGCCAGTTCATTGTCGTGGTGAAGAACGTCATCACTTGCCAACTCAAGAGCACGCAGTCCTTCAGTGTCCACCACTAGAACGTAGTCAAACTCATAGTCTTTCTTGATCTCCTCTGACACTTTGACCAGCTGCATGAAGGCACCCTTGGTGCACCGGCCAGCACTCACTGCAAACTGTAACCCAAACATTGCATTGAGCATTGTTGATTTTCCACTGCTTTGTACACCCAAAACTGACAAAACAAAAACTCTCTTGTTGCCCAGTTTCTTTATGACTTTGTCTAAAAGACTGGAGATCCATATTAAAGGCACATGACCTGCATCACCATCCATCAGCTCCATTGGGTATCCTGATATCATCAGCTCTGCAGCCAGCTCAGGATATTTAGACCAGTCAGTCTGTCCTCTCTTTGGTTGTTCCTGTAGAGATGCATGAGCTTCATAGATCTGTCCCATTTCTCTGAAGATGTGCTCCAAGCCAAATGTTGCTGACTGTAGTTTGGTTGATATTTGTTCGAGCTCAGTTTGCTTGTTTTTTAGCTGATCAGATTTGTCATGCTTTTTCTTCAAAGCCACAACCTCAGACCACTTTTCATCATAGCTTTGGAGAATTAAAGAGAGATCGTTTGTGGAGAGGGCATCTATTAAGATCTGAGTCCATTTCAGGAAATACTCTTTTTCTGTTGATGTCAAAGATGAGAGGCTTTCAATGAACAACTTCACTGGCTCACTACAGGAAGCCTTGCATTGTTTCTGTCTTATTGTCATCAGTTCCTGTTGCTTTTTGCATTTCTCTTTCTCAATGTCTCCTTTGAGGTGATACAGTTCTTTGTTTGTTCTGCACCACTTGTGCCACAGTTGGCCTTGACATGGGAGAAATTTATCTTTGATTTTTGAAACATCCATCCCCCGAAGCAGATTTACTATATCCATGGCAGCAGACTTCCCTTTTTGGCAGGCTGTGTCATCTTCATCCACTCTGATTCCAGAGACCTCAGCCATGGTTTCAAGCTGGAAGGATTCACGTGGTCCAGACAAAATGTTTCCAATGATTCCTTTCAGTTCTTCAGAAACTTCTGACTGGCTTCTGTCGTTTAGACCCACTTTGTATTTTCCCTTTTTCATCTGAACTGCAGCACAATCATTATTAGCAATGAGACAGATGAGGGGCTTTGGAGACTTGAGAAGGGCTGAGATAACTGTTGTATTTTTGTCACCTTTTTCCAGAGTTGGTACCAGAACAACATTGACTGAAGATTTTTCAGTCAGTATGTCACGCTGCTTTTCCCTCAACAGAGCATCACCATGAAGATTACAGAAGGCAATGCAGTCAGTGAAGGCATCATTGGGTCTTCCAGCAGGGCAGTACCAAGCAATCTCTGCCACTCCTTCCATCAAATGGCGAGACTTGGTGCTACCTGGGCAGTTTCTGTGGAAGAAGGTGCTGTGACGCTCGTTGATCAAAGTGTTCATCAGCTGAGATTTAGACAGAGGTAGTGAGCCCAGACGGAAAAATGACACCATGGGTGTCTGAGCTTTGCAGATGGGCATACTCTTCATGATGACAGTGTTTGGATCATCTCTGATTTGAGTTATCTTCCATGTTTTTCTTATTTGTCTGAATGTCCACAGAGGGCAATCAATATCCATTGTGACTGGGTCAGGAACAAGTAAAGGTAAGGCGTACTGACAGTGTGATAACTTTGTAATCATGTTCTGCTTAACAAAGCTGTCTGAGCAGTGAAATACTGCCATTTGAACATCCATTGGATGCACACAAGTTTGTTTTGTATGATCATAGTTTACAGTGGTGTCAAAAAAAGCATCTAAATCACTTTCTTCTGTCTCAACAGTGTCAGAGTCTGGAACCGACTGTGACTGGCTCACCTCAGGACTGTCTTGTCTGACAGGAATATATCTGGCTCTGTAGTCTAACATCATCAACCTCTGAAGAAAAGTATGAGCTAGATCTTTCTCATATGTGTCATTGTCCTGATTCACAGGTGGACCTATGTTAAGGAAATCTGCTGGTGTCAGCTTCTGTTGATGTTTGTCTTGAAGGTGAAGTCTGCCAAGCAATGTTTCACTTTCTCTTTGATATTGTTTCTTCCTGTTGGTCTCTTCAGAAATCTTCACTGACTGCTGTAAGCAAACATGTACTGTATGTAAAATATGACAACAACATACAATGGGATATAAAGTGAATGGTCCTAAAGATCTTGTGAAGTTCGGAGTGTTTTACCTTATCCTCTTTTCCACTCATACCCATTTCTAAGGGACCTGCAGTAAAATAATGAACTTAATTATAAGAGGGTAAAGAAAATGTGCAATATAACCAATATTATATATATATATGAATTTTGACTATTTAACATTATTTTACTATTAAATAATTAATTCAATTATTACTTTTGTCCTTTGTTGTAGATTGGTTACACTTGATTTCTGCTGTTGTGTTGTCATCAGCAGGTTCATTCCTTGGATCACACTATGAAAACAAATGATTTAATTTAACATTTAGTTCACCAGGTTATAAGCATTGAGAACATGAAGAACAACACAGAACAACACAGAGTAAAAATATAAACAAGGAAGAGCAACCAGCACAAAATTGAGTACAAGCAGTTTGCATTTTAGATAGAAGAAAGTAAACAGTGTTTTCAACTCATCCATGTGTCCAACCAGGAGCTCCATGGAATCAAAGTCTGTCCAAATTTAAACTAAAAGGCAAATAGCTCCAATTTCCAGCTGAATTTGTTATTGCTAAAATTTGACACAGAGAAAAAGTAGGGAGCACTAAAGATGTACTCCAACCCAATACGGGGTCATCCCTATGTTCCCCGGGTCCTATGTTTCCTGCTAAGGTTAGGTTGAGGGTTAGGGTTAGGGTTCCCTGGTCCCATACAAAGCGGGGAACATAGAACCCGGGGAACATAGGACCTGGGAAACATAGGTACGCTCCCCCTAATGCATGTTATTTGAGCTGGAAACAAAATTCTATGCATGTACTGTGATCAAACACATCAATGCTGGTCTTAATATTGACATTCTTGCCAAATTTATCAGAATCAGCATTTTGTGTCTTGAAAATAGCTCAATGGCCCTCTGCTGTTTTAAATCACCCTGAACCTTGTAAGGCTAATGCAGACCTTTTGGGACTCCCTTACATCATTACATTTATATAAAAAAGTGTAAATGCGCTCTAACCAGAGGAGGGCAACCCAACTCCCCCAGCCTCTGTGCTCATTTTCAAATGTACACCTATCGAGATGCATCATTCACAGGAGTTTATGCTAGTATTTTTCCACTTTGGTGCAGTGGTTCGGACTTATGCTTTCAGCTACAACACAGAAACTTGTACAAATAGTCATGAATATGCTTCTAGTGACTGTAAAAGTTCCAGCGGTGTGACAGCAGTTGCTCATTTGCTCTGACTAACAGCTCGCTGCTACACTGCTGTGGACAATCTGTCAATCACTCCTGTCTATGCCTAGGCCACGCCCCCTAAAGTCACCCTCCTTTGCAGGTCTCTGATGCATTTCTTAAATTCACTGAGAGGAAGCGAGCTAGCAGGACTGAAGGGTCTAGTTACACTTAAAAAACAAGCTTCTGTATGACAATGACAACTGAGGACCAGAAGATCTCACCTTTGCTTCTGTTTTAGTTGCACTCTCCTCGTCTACTGCAGGGTAATGTAACAACAAGCAGATTGCAGGATCAAACAAAAAATAGGGTTTTGTCAGTTAACTATTCCAGATGAAGAATTATTTGCAAAAGTCTGTGTATTCAAACAGTTCATTGTTCATTCAAGATGATAATGTGTTTTGTGTATTTTAATTATTCAGAAGTATTTCTCACGTTCTCTGGTCTCCGTTGAAACAGCCTGAGATGTTGGACTAGCCTCCTTCACTGCATCACTCTCCTCCATGGACCGCTCAGTCACATTACTGCTGCTTTCATTGTTGACCTCTTTAACTTCAGCCTCTCCTGTTGAAGGGTGTAGAAGCCAATAATGGAATAACTGCCAATAACATCATGGTGACCCCTGAATCTCAGCCCTTTCTCTAAGCGCACGCAGACACACACACGCACGCACGCACACACACACACACACACACACACACACACACACACACACACACACACACACACACACACACACACTTCTTTTCTTTATAGGGAGTTGTTTTGTGTTAAGATTGAACTCATTTACGTTTAAATAAAGAGTTTAATACTACAAATCTTTCTGTTTCCTTTCTTTCTTTAAACACCTGGTTTATTATTAATTGCTGCGCCTCTGTTCCCCCAGACCTCTCAACTGAGGTCATAACAGCCACATTCACCCATTCACCCACATTCATGCAGTAAATGACAAATGCCATCAAAAAACTAAAAAACAAACAAGCTCTTCTTTCCATGAAAGATATAATCATTCATCAAATGTATTTAAATAATATCTGGTCAGTTTTTGGGGCAGCTATTTGAAAGAGGCAAGTGTGACACTTTATAGCCAATAAATAAAACTTATTTTGATGATTATTTTAACCCAGCAATAATATAATTTATAACATTATTTGCCAGTTATTATATTATTGACATTTATTACATTAAGAACAAAACAATTATGAACTTATTGGCAGTTATTACAATAACAGTAGTTATTCTATGATTGACTGCTACAAGGGTTAAAGACAACCAATATCAGAGATTAGTTTAAATAGTTTCCTATTTTATTGATACTTTTGAATTTAAAATATAATCGTACTGTGAACATTTATGTGAGTGTACAATGAAAAATGTCCTAAAAATCTTACCTTTCTCATTGGTTGCAGATGGGATTACAGACTTGATTTCAGACTCTCCTCCTGCTCTTGTGCTCCCCTTCAGTTCATCTATTGCAGAGTAATGTGACAAGAATCACATTGTAAGAGAGGAGGAAAACTTAATAAGAATTATTTGTGAAAAAGATGTGTGTATTCAAAAAGCTAACTCTTCCACAAGATGTATCTCCTCTCCACCAAACAGAGATAGAGTTCAGTCCATCCCTGAATTCTTTCATTACAATATTACCTTTCTCTTTGGTTTCAGATGGTACAGACTTGATTTCTGACTCTCCTCCTGTGTTCTCATAATCATTCTCTGAATGTTCAACATCTCCATGTTCATTTACTGGATCACCCTGAGAAAACAAATTAATTAATTTCACATTTAGTTCACCAGGTTAGAACCACTTAGACTGAAAACATGAGTAATAAGTAGTTCTTTACTTGAGTATTTATTGACAACTTTTTACTTCTACTTTATCAATTATTAAACTGATCAATCAAGATCAATATCACACAGTGATTCACATATTCATTCAAAAAACAAAAAAAAAACTAAAACAACAGTTCCAATCTTCAGCTTGGGTGACAGATTTATTCAGGCTTGAGACTTCAAATCTGACCAGAAAATACAGGTAGTTTTAGAAAAGAAATGCTGCTCTATGATGACGATCACTAAAGGTTAAAATAAACATCTTACCTGTAGGTTGATCTCAGCTGCATCCTCCTCCATCTCTTCAACTGCAGGATAAAGTAAGAAAAAGCAGATTGTACAATTGGATTAGTTAGACTGCTCATTTTCTGTGATAAATTCCTCGGTTTTCTGGAGGTGAATTTACCAGGGTTAGAAGGGACATAATATCATCTTGGTCAGCCAGAAACAATGAAACTTTACAGTTATTCTGACTTTGCTTCGGCACAAATGTCTAATGAAAATCACAATTCTCAAAACATTGTGTACAAGTCTCAAATCTATAGTTATGTTCATGCAACAGTTAAATGCAGTCCGTGTTGCTCTCATACACAAGTCCACTGTTTAATTGTACCATATGTTGTTATGAACGGGTTGTAATGTAACTTTAAAAATGTGACCGTCTCTTGTTGGTTGCCAGTGGACTGATTCTACACATGCGTTCCTAGGATGCGGGGCCACTTTTCTGCAAAAATCCAAAGGATGTGAAGTTTATGTGCACCCCCAGGTTCTTTCTCTCTCTGCATCTGTCAACCATAGACATACATAATAAAGCTACCTTGTAATTGACAGGTCACTCTCAGTGAGTCAGTCTAGCTCAACACACCAAACTCAGATCAAACTGTCAAACTAGGCAGTGCTGATCAAATATGAAGCAAGAGTCTCTTCCAGCGTTGAATATTTATCGCTTAAAATTTTTTAAGAAATGTATTTTAGTGTACTGTTCTGTAATATCTGTAATACGAGACTGTGTGTGACCAGGTGAACCACCATTGTTTCCTGCTATGGACAAGTCAGATGAATTCAACAATGAATTTGCTATGAAGCTCTTTAAAGCTTAGAGCTTTTACTATTATATGAACTATTATTCAAGTTACATCCACATTATCTTGTGTACCAGCAGTGTTGGTGTGAATGTGAAACATTAAAAGCTCACCTGCTTGATTTTGCTGAAACGCTGAGGAATCCATCCTTTCTTCTTCCTGCTCTTTATTTTCACACATCAGTCCACTGTAGCAGTGGGGATCGTTTTCAGAGACCATGACATCTATTTTTTCCAACAGAGCTATTATCTCTTTTTCATCATTCAAACTTCTTGTACATGTTTGGAATCTGTTTTCAACAAAACTGCTGTTGGCTTTCAGGTCTGTCAATGCACCTTCACATTTTTCATCCGACTCATGAGTCACAGCTGTCATTAAATAAGAAAGTGATCCTTTCCCAAAAGCTTTCTCTAACCACTGCACTCCTGAACTGTAATGGCTGGTATGCAGACCATTTGCTAACAGTAAGACAAAGGCATGAATTCCCTGATTTAATGGGAATTCCTCAATGTTTTGAAGACCAAGCATGTTGATGACAGAGATGTGCCGGCCGCATAAATCATACAGTTTGGTTGAAAACTGTTTCACATTTGCTTGCTCGCCGTGGTCAAGTAAGATGTTTTTTGATCCGGTCTCAATGGAATTTGTGTCACCAATTAACACGATTGTGAGTTCAGGCATCCCTGTAACAGAGAGTAACATCGATATGTTAAACTGCAGTAATCACTGAAACAACACTGTCAAAGGTAGACAGACAGCACTCTGTCAATGCACTGACAAAATAAAAGTAAATAATCTAATTCTGTTAAAACTCCACTGAAATATAATCTATAAAATCAATGTGACTGTACAATCAGTTCTTGGTTAATGTTACCTTTCTCACTGGTTGTGGATGGTACAGACTTCATTTCAGACTCTCCTCCTGTGCTTTCATCATTCTTCTCTGAGTGTTGAGCTTCACCTGGTTCATTCACTGGATCAAACTGAGAGAACAGGTGATTTTATTTTTTAACACCTCCAGGTTAGACTCACTGAGAGTACATTGTGTTTTTTTATTTTATTATTTCAAAAAAATTTTTTTGCTCGTTTATTGACTTTTAATCGATAGCAACAGCTTAAGATAGACAGGAAAGGGGGGTAGAGAGAGGGGATAACACGCAGCAAAGGGCAGCAGGTCGGACTCGAACCCTGGGCCGTTGCAGCAAGCAACCCAAAACCAAGGAATCGGCATCAAGATGAATATATACTGAAGATGAACAGTGTTGCACTAATACAATAGCATGTAAAGCAAGAGCAAGGTAAAGCAATACAACAGAATAAAATAAAAGCAAAGAAAACTTTGGTCCTCCAATGTCAAACCAGGAGGTTCATGAATGTACAGGTTTCCACTTCTATGAACATTTTCATCACTTAAACTTTGGGAAGGATTCTCTATTGCAAAACTCTCACACAACTTTAGAAATTGGAAAACTGTTAAAGAACAAAAGAAAAGCAGCTATAGATAGAAGATAATAATGACTAATGTAAATGAAAGGATATTTACCTTGGCTGCACTCTCCTCCATCTTATCTACTGCCATGTAAGAAAAAGAAAAAACATACAGGATCAGCATAAATCAACATATTTGGTTAGTTAACTCTTCTAGTTTATGAAATATCATTTTCAAAATGTTAAAAGACCTTTGTCATTTGGTGTCACAGATTCAGTTTCAGACTCTCCTCCTCCTCCTCCTCCTCCTCCTCCAGCTGCTGTGTTGTCATTGTCTCTTGCCTCCATCTTTTCTGCTCTTCATCTGTAGAGGGTTGTAAGACAAAGTCATTCATACAATACAACAATCACTGCAAATTCACATTAATATTCAAGCTGACTGATCAAATGAATTATTTAAATAAAATAAATAAAAGTAGCGCAGTTACACATTTTGTCATCCTGATGTTCTTACTGCTGCTGAAACGTCGCAAATATTGCAACGTCATGCATCAACACTAAATGTGCACTTTATTTGTGGCCCGTCAGCATAAAATGTAGGGGAAGATTTGCGGTGTAATTTCTCTTAAATACAATTCTATGATGAAGGTTTGGAGTTCAGGCGGACGCGGCGTCTGAGATGCAGACATCACTGCACCAAAGGTCCCAGGGCGCAATGGCACATCACACATTAGAAGCTGAAGCCATGGAAAATGGGCACACAGATAGTTTTGGAAGAGACCGAGGAGTTGACTTTATTCTCGACATTTTGACTTTATTCTCAAAATGCGAAATAAAAAAATCGTTGTTCTTTCATTTCTTTTTCTTATGTCTGGCTCTAATAATCCGTCGTAGATGAGAATCTTCATGCTTCCTATATTTATTCACATTCTCTACTTAGTCTGTACACAAAAAATCTATAGAATTGTTACATAAACTCACCTTTTGTCATGCGTTTCCTTTGCTGCTTTGGTCTGTGTAGATCTTGCAGTCTTGTCAGAACTCCTTCCCGTCCCCACCCATACACAGCCTTAATATAGAGAGAGACCCCCTAACACCCCCCCACAGCTGCTCTCTGATGGGATGTGATAGGTTGAAGCAAAGGGAAAAGTGAAAGTAGCCTATGCCTAACTCCTGATTTACCCGAAACCATGTGACTTAAAGGAAAATGATGTTTAGGTTTTGATATTGATAAATATGCATGATAGATAGATAGATAGATAGATAGATAGATAGATAGATAGATAGATAGATAGATAGATAGATAGATAGATAGATAGAATATTTATCCCGAGGGAAATTCAAGCATCCAGTAGCAGCATACAAACATACATTAGACATACAATAGACATACATTAAACATAGGCCTACATTAGGCCTACGAATGCTTCTAGGCTCCTATACCGACCAAAATGGTACCTAGGCCTCTGAAGGCACCAGCATAACAGAGTCTCTTTATTCCCAACGGTCATATGTCTGCTACTGGTCTTGACTTCTTGCACAATGCCATTCGTAGGCCTAATGTAGGCCTATGTTTAATGTATGTCTATTGTATGTCTAATGTATGTTTGTATGCTGCTACTGGATGCTTGAATTTCCCTCGGGATAAATATTCTATCTATCTATCTATCTATCTATCTATCTATCTATCTATCTATCTATCTATCTATCTATCTATCTATCTATCATGCATATTTATCAATATCAAAACCTAAACATCATTTTCCTTTAAGTCACATGGTTTCGGGTAAATCAGGAGTTAGGCATAGGCTACTTTCACTTTTCCCTTTGCTTCAACCTATCACATCCCATCAGAGAGCAGCTGTTGGGGGGGGTGTTAGGGGGTCTCTCTCTATATTAAGGCTGTGTATGGAGAGAATTCTGTTCCTTTATTATTCAATCAAATAGAATAGATTTGAAAGCAAAAAAGAGTAAGTGGCAATCAAAAAAAAAAAATGTTTGAGATCGAAACAGAACAGGTTGCATTTGAAAAAAAAATATGAGAGAACATATTTCTTCAACTTCAATCAAAACTAATGTTTGTAAGTAAAAACATGCGACCATTTTGCGTCCTCTTTGCTTGCAAATTCAACTGCACTTGATGGGCGGGGCCTACGCTGGTGGACGAGAGAAGAGTTTCTATTGGTTGGTTTGACTGGCTACGTCTTCCGCATTACACCCACTTCTCCCTGTGCTGTGCTGCTTGGAGGTAGCCTGTTGCTCTTGAAACGTTTCCCATAAGTAATGAATTGCGCCATATCGTTGGCTACAGCCTGCCATACATTCACAACAACAACAACAACAACAACAACACAAGTAATGAATTATAATGCCCTGCTGCTGCTAGCACACTGATTAGCAGCAACATGGTTGTCTCTGATAGTCACAGTACTACCATGGATTACTAAACTACTGATTATACAGATCAGTGGTGCTGAAATTTGCGTTTCTCTTCTATAGCCTACACATTGTACATCTCTGAGGTCAGAAGCATCATTCAGCTGCTCCTGTATAGACCAGTAATGCTGGCTGGTTAGAAATATGTGCGTGAATTTGTTAAATTATTCGCCACGTGTGTTTGTAGACATTAGAACAGCTGTAGAGAACGGGAGCCGGGAGGAGTAGCGGCAGCCCGCTACACAGTGGAAACTGGCACCACGTTCAGTGGTAGTTTAATAATCCATAGTAGTACTGTTGTGTAGGAAGCGTGACGTTTTGGCACCGCGAGTACCATGCAACACTAAATGTTTCAATCACAGCCCTACGTTGAATACGCCTCCCTGTAATTCACTCACTCATTAGGCTACTCTGCTCAGGCCGTGACTAGCAGAGACAACCATGTTGCTGCTAATCAGTGTGCTTGCAGCAGCAGGGCATTATAATTCATTACTTGTGTTGTTGTTGTTGTTGTTGTTGTGAATGTATGGCAGGCTGTAGCCAACGATATGGCGCAATTCATTACTTATGGGAAACGTTTCAAGAGCAACAGGCTACCTCCAAGCAGCACAGCACAGGGAGAAGTGGGTGTAATGCGGAAGACGTAGCCAGTCAAACCAACCAATAGAAACTCTTCTCTCGTCCACCAGCGTAGGCCCCGCCCATCAAGTGCAGTTAAATTCGCAAGCAAAACTTTTGAATTTGCAAGCAAAGAGGACGCAAAATGGTCGCATGTTTTTACTTACAAACATTAGTTTTGATTGAAGTTGAAGAAATATGTTCTCTCATATTTTTTTTTTCAATTGCAACCTGTTCTGTTTCGATCTCAAACATTTTTTTTGATTGCCACTTACTCTTTTTTGCTTTCAAATCTAGTCTATTTGATTGAATAATAAAGGAACAGAATGGGGTGGGGACAGGAAGGAGTTCTGACAAGACTGCAAGATCTACACAGACCAAAGCAGCAAAGGAAACGCATGACAAAAGGTGAGTTTATGTAACAATTCTATAGAGCGACATTTCAACTTGATAATAGTCTGTTTTTAGTCAAATATCAAATTTGACCTCTTGACTTTATTCTCGGACTCCAAAAAAACAACAACCTTTGTCTTGCCTGTCTCTAAAACTCCTTTGTGTCATAAATATTGGGATGTTCGCTCATCATAGAATTGTATTTAAGAGAAATTACACCGCAAATCTTCCCCTATATTTTATGCTGGCGGGCCACAAATATAGTGCACATTTAGTGTTGATGCATGACGTTGCAATATTTGCGACGTTTCAGCAGCAGTAAGAACATCAGGATGACAAAATGTGTAACTGCGCTACTTTTATTTATTTTATTAAAATAATTCATTTGATCAGTCAGCTTGAATATTAATGTGAATTTGCAGTGATTGTTGTATTGTATGAATGACTTTGTCTTACAACCCTCTACAGATGAAGAGCAGAAAAGATGGAGGCAAGAGACAATGACAACACAGCAGCTGGAGGAGGAGGAGGAGAGTCTGAAACTGAATCTGTGACACCAAATGACAAAGGTCTTTTAACATTTTGTAAATGGTATTTCATAAACTAGAAGAGTTAGCTAACCAAATATGTTGATTTATGCTGATCCTGTATATTTTTTCTTTTTCTTACATGGCAGTAGATAAGATGGAGGAGAGTGCAGCCAAGGTAAATATCCTTTCACTTACATTAGTCATTATTATCTTCTATCTATAGCTGCTTTTCTTTTGTTCTTTAACAGTTTTCCAATTTCTAAAGTTGTGTGAGAGTTTTGCAATAGAGAATCCTTCCCAAAGTTTAAGTGATGAAAATGTTCATAGAAGTGGAAATCTGTACATTCATGAACCTCCTGGTTTGACATTGGAGGACCAAAGTTTTCTTTGCTTTTATTTTATTCTGTTGTATTGCTTTACCTTGCTCTTGCTTTACATGCTATTGTATTAGTGCAACACTGTTCATCTTCAGTATATATTCATCTTGATGCCGATTCCTTGGTTTTGGGTTGCTTGCTGCAACGGCCCAGGGTTCGAGTCCGACCTGCTGCCCTTTGCTGCGTGTTATCCCCTCTCTCTACCCCCCTTTCCTGTATATCTTAAGCTGTCGCTATTGATTAAAAGTCAATAAAAGAGCAAAAAAAAAAAATATTTAAAATAATAAAATAAAAAAACACAATGTACTCTCAGTGGGTCTAACCTGGAGGTGTTAAAAAATAAAATCACCTGTTCTCTCAGTTTGATCCAGTGAATGAACCAGGTGAAGCTCAACACTCAGAGAAGAATGATGAAAGCACAGGAGGAGAGTCTGAAATGAAGTCTGTACCATCCACAACCAGTGAGAAAGGTAACATTAACCAAGAACTGATTGTACAGTCACATTGATTTTATAGATTATATTTCAGTGGAGTTTTTAACAGAATTAGATTATTTACTTTTATTTTGTCAGTGCATTGACAGAGTGCTGTCTGTCTACCTTTTACAGTGTTGTTTCAGTGATTACTGCAGTTTAACATATCGATGTTACTCTCTGTTACAGGCATGCCTGAACTCACAATCGTGTTAATTGGTGACACAAATTCCATTGAGACCGGATCAAAAAACATCTTACTTGACTATGGCGAGCAAGCAAATGTGAAACAGTTTTCAACCAAACTGTATGATTTATGCGGCCGGCACATCTCTGTCATCAACATGCTCGGTCTTCAAAACACTGAGGAATTCCCATTAAATCAGGGAATTCATGCCTTTGTCTTACTGTTAGCAAATGGTCTGCATACCAGCCATTACAGTTCAGGAGTGCAGTGGTTAGAGGAAGCTTTTGGGAAAGGATCCCTTTCTTATTTAATGACAGCTGTGACTCATGAGTCAGATGAAAAATGTGAAGGTGCATTTAAAGACCTGAAAGCCAACAGCAGTTTTGTTGAAAACAGATTCCAAACATGTACAAGAAGTTTGAATGATGAAAAAGAGATAATAGCTCTGTTGGAAAAAATAGATGTCATGGTCTCTGAAAACGATCCCCACTGCTACAGTGGACTGATGTGTGAAAGGATGGATTCCTCAGCGTTTCAGCAAAATCAAACAGGTGAGCTTTTAATGTTTCACATTCACACCAACACTGCTGGTACACAAGATAATGTGGATGTAACTTGAATAATAGTTCATATAATAGTAAAAGCTCTAAGCTTTAAAGAGCTTCATAGCGAATTCATTGTTACGCTGTCTGGTCTATCCCTGTTTTTATAGTTTTGACCACAAGGCAGGTGTTTTCAGAGAAAAAGGGTCTAATGGTGGGTTTCCACCAAAGGCAAAGCAAATACTCGCTGAGCGTTTCTCACGCTAGTTTACTCTCGGGATCATTTGTATTTACAAGTATTTAGTTACTCACACGAGTAGTCCCCTTTAATCTGGAACCTACTGTTCACTCCCTATTTACCACCAAACAGCACAGTTAGTGACTGGTTGGTGAACACAATGGAGCCAGATATCCCTCCAGAGAGTACTCTACTGCCTGGTTCCAAGAGTGAACCTATGGTGATGTCACCCATTGGTTTGTGGAGAACCATTTTGAAGCCAGGAGTTTGGCATTTTGGCCGCTGCCAGCATGAGCCAGCGTACATGCTGTAGTGCGAGTTGATCTACACTCATTGGCTGCGCAGTTCTGACTCGTCCATAGCAGGAAACAATGGCGGTTCACCTGGTCACACAATCTCGTATTACAGATAAACAGTACACTAAAGTACGTTTTTTAAACAATTTTAAGCGAGAAATAGTCAACGCAGTAATCTAGCTTCATATTTGATCAGCACTGCCTAGTTTGACAGTTTGATCTGAGTTTGGTGCGTTGAGGTGGACTGACTCACTGAGAGTGACCTGTCAATTACAAGGTAGCTTTATCGTCTATTTTGCTCTAAATAGGACCATCATTTACTTAATGAACATCATAATGTATGGAATAAGATGGTAAACTAGCAACTGAGACCCTAAACTCACCAGGAAACTGTTTACTGAGCTCCTAAATGGAGTGTCAAGTCAGCTCATTCTCCATTAAAGTGAATGGAGCTCCCCCTGCTGGCCTTTACATAGAATGCAGGTTTTAAGACACTTCCATGTTGGCTTCACTTTTCAGACTGGAAGCTCTCTCCATTATACTGTCAATTCCTGGTCCATGTAGCTAATTGTTGTATACCTCAATTAAGCTCATTGTCTATAAAAAAAAGCATAAAGGAATATAAAAATGCAGAAATGTATAATTAAACACATAACAAAGAAAAATAAATACATTTTGGTAATAAAATCTGCTATTTCTGAATGTTTTTAATGTTTATTTGTTTTACATTATTTGTTCAGTATTATTTCATTATTTGTCCACCATAAGTATCTCCCCCCATGTGACATACATGTATTTTAAGGAATGATGTTAAGTAACTATTTTGGCTTCATGTGCCACTGAGCAGCTTCCATATGAATGAACTGAGCTGTGTCCAGTTCTCTTTATACAGCACTAATTTTGCTACGTTAGCTAGCTAGCATTTTGTCCGCATTAGCAAGCGAGCTAACATTAGCCAGCTAAAACCAAAATATAATAATATATTTCTAGAGATTTGCAGTAATGTTGGCTCTGACTTTGGACTCTGTGTTGGTCTGTGTTGTGGTGGGTGCTGGTCATTGTACACATTATCGGACTCCATTTACAAGCTAACGTTAGTGGTTGCTTGCTGTTGACACTGTACTGATGCAGAGAGAGAAAGAACTTGGGGGTGCACATAAACTTCACATCCTTTGGATTTTTGCAGAAAAGTGGCCCCGCATCCTAGGAACGCATGTGTAGAATCAGTCCACTGGCAACCAACAAGAGACGGTCACATTTTTAAAGTTACATTACAACCCGTTCATAACAACATATGGTACAATTAAACAGTGGACTTGTGTATGAGAGCAACACGGACTGCATTTAACTGTTGCATGAAAATAACTATAGATTTGAGACTTGTACACAATGTTTTGAGAATTGTGATTTTCATTAGACATTTGTGCCGAAGCAAAGTCAGAAAAGTCAGTAAAGTTTCATTGTTTGTGGCTGACCAAGATGATATTATGTCCCTTCTAACCCTGGTAAACTCACCTCCAGAAAACCGAGGAATTTATCACAGAAAATGAGCAGTCTAACTAATCCAATTGTACATCTGCTTTTTCTTACTTTATCCTGCAGTTGAAGAGATGGAGGAGGATGCAGCTGAGATCAACCTACAGGTAAGATGTTTATTTTAACCTTTAGTGATCGTCATCATAGAGCAGCATTTCTTTTCTAAAACTACCTGTATTTTATCATGTAGTTTTAGTTTTTTGTATTCTTTTCATAAATGAGTGAATCATTGTGTGATATTGATCTTGATTGATCAGTTTAATAATTGATAAAGTAAAAGTAAAAAGTTGTCAATAAATACTCAAGTAAAGAAAAAGAAAGAAAACTTATTACTTCCCAGCTCAGCTGAACACTAAATACAGACCTTGCTTGTATCGGAATACCCGCTGTGTGTTGTTGATCCTCATGTTTTCAGTCTAAGTGGTTCTAACCTGGTGAACTAAATGTGAAATTAATTAATTTGTTTTCTCAGGGTGATCCAGTAAATGAACATGGAGATGTTAAACAGTCAGAGAAACCAAAGAGAAAGGTAATATTTTAATGACAAAATGCAGGGATGGACTGAACTCTATCTCTGTTTGGTGGAGAGGAGATACAGCTTGTGGAAGAGTTCACTTTTTGAATAAACACATCTTTTTCACAAATAATTCTTACAAACTTTTCCTACTCTCTTACAATTTTTTATTTTATTTTTGATCGTGCAATCTGATTCTTGTCACATTACTCTGCAATAGATGAACTGAAGGGGAGCACAAGAGCAGGAGGAGAGTCTGAAATCAAGTCTGTAATCCCATCTGCAACCAATGAGAAAGGTGAGATTTTTAGGACATTTTTCATTGTACATAAATGTTCACAGTATAGTTATATTTTAAATTCAAGAGTATCAATAAAATAGGAAACTATATAAACTAATTTCTGATATTGGTTGCCTTTAACCCTTTTAGCAGTCAATCATAAAATAACTACTGTTATTGTAATAACTGCCAATAAGTTCATAAATGTTCCGTTCTTAATGTAATAAAAGTCAATAATATAATAACTGGCAAATAATGTTATAAATTGTATTATTGCTGAGTTAAAATAATCATAAAATTATTTTATTTATTTATTGGCTATAAAGTGTCACACTTGCCTCTTTCAAATAGCTGCCTGAAAAACTGACCAGATATTATTTAAATACATTTGATGAATGATTATATCTTTCATGGAAAAAAGAGCTTTTTTGGTTTTTTAGTTTTTTGATGGCATTTTCCATTTACTGTAGGAATGTGGGTGAATGGGTGAATGTGGCTGTTATGACCTCAGTTGAGAAGTCCGGGGGAAGAGAGGTGCAGCAATTAATAATAAACCAGGTGTTTAAAGAAAGAAAGGAAACAGAAAGATTTGTAGTATTAAACTATTTATTTAAACGTAAATGACTTCAATCTTAACACAAAACAACTTCCTAAAAAGAAAGGAAGTGAAAACTATTTAAACTAAACAAACCACTGATCCAATAAATAAGTATGAACAACGCTCTCCCTCCACTGAGGGAGTAATGATAATGTTACACGACGAGCACCACACAGCTCTGATTCATGACCGACAGCACCACAACACTATCTGGCGGCCTGGCCCACTGGCCTCGTCTGCTTCTGTCCAAGTAGCTTTAAAGCAAGCGGCATGATTGTTAAAACTACCGCAGGTGGGCCTGACAGAGGGAGGGCGGTACCTGGAATAGGACACAGGACAGAGCAGAGGCAAAACACATTTGGCTTCTACACCCTTCAACAGGAGAGGCTGAAGTTAAAGAGGTCAACAATGAAAGCAGCAGTAATGTGACTGAGCGGTCCATGGAGGAGAGTGATGCAGTGAAGCAGGCTAGTCCAACATCTCAGGCTGTTTCAACGGAGACCAGAGAACGTGAGAAATACTTCTGAATACTTAAAATACACAAAACACATTATCTCTATTTGGTGCAGAGGAAATGCATCTTGAATGAACAATGAACTGTTTGAATATAACAGACTTTTGCAAATAATTCTTCATCTGGAATAGTTAACTGACAAAACAATTTTTTTTTGTTTGATCCTGCAATCTGATTGTTGTTACATTACCCTGCAGTAGACGAGGAGAGTGCAACTAAAACAGAAGCAAAGGTGAGATCTTCTGGTCCTCAGTTGTCATTGTTATACAGAAGCTTGTTTTTTAAGTGTAACTATACCCTTCAGTCCTGCTAGCTCCCTTCCTCTCAGTGAATTTAAGAATGCATCAGGGACCTGGAGGACAGTGACTTTAGGGGGCGTGGCCTAGTCATAGACAGGAGTGATTGACAGATTGTCCACAGCAGTGTAGCAGGAACACCAAAGGAACACCAAAGAAGAAAATACTAGCATAAACTCCTGTGAATGATGCATCTCGATAGGTGTATATTTGAACATGAGCGCAGAGGCTGGGGGAGTTGGGTTGCCCTCCTCTGGTTAGAGCGCATTTACACTTTTTTGATATATATATGTAATGATGTAAGGGATTCCCAAAAGGTCTGCATTAGCCTTACAAGGTTCAGGGTGATTTAAAACAGCAGAGGGCCATTGAGCTATTTTCAAGCCACAACATGCAGATTTTCATACAGTAAATTTGGTAAAAATGTCAATATTAAGACCAGCATTGATGTGTTTGATCACAGTACAGGCATAGAATTAGGTCTACAGCTCAAATAACACGCATTAGGGTGAAGTACCTCTTTAGTGCTCCCTTCTTTTTCTCTGTGTCAAATTTTAGCAATAACACCTTCAGCTGGAAAATGGAGCTATTTGCCTTTAAGTTTTTTTCACATTCCAGTGGATGAATTGAGGGTGACTCCAGATGAAACCAGAGCAAAGATAATAATTATCTCAACATCGAATCCTCTGACTTCACCTCAGACACCACCAGCAGGTTTTTGTTTTTTAATTAAATGTGTTAACAAATGGATTGTCATGAAATTTAGTTCATGGGTGCCCAGAGGATGAATCTTAATGAACTTGGGGGACTTTTTCTCTAGCCCCACCATGAGGTTAACTTTTGTGGCTTTAAGTGAAATATCTCATTGATGGAACGCCATCAAATTTAGACATCATAGATTGCCATGACATTGATGTCTCTCTCTGAATGAGCTGTAATCACTTTTGTAATCCCTGTACTTTCCATCTAGTTTCAGTTCATGTCAGGTTTGTGACTGAAAACCTACAAAACAACAGCCCGGGCCATAAGACCATTATAATGACCGTACACGCCATAATTCATTCTGGCCCAAGCAGGCCATAATATTCACTAGGAAAATCTCATCTGGTACCAATTTCAAAGCTTTATAAATACTCTGACTCTTTAATCATTGTGCAAACACTCAGAAACAATGTGTTCCTCTAAGCAGCCGTGTAAGACTCTAAAAAATGAAAGTTATTGATGCCCACAATGCAGGAGAAGACTACAAAAACCGGAAGCCACAAGGACATCAGCGGACCTGTTGATCACTTTGGAGGATTTAACAGCCGATGAATTCAAAACATTCAAATGGTATCTGCGGCTGGAAGGCAACAAATCCATCAAAAGATCCAAGCTGGAGGGGGCAGAGAGGAGGGACACTGTGGATCTGATGGTGAACACCTATACACCACATGGAGCTCTGAAGGTAACCATGAAGATTTTAAAGAAGATATCCAGGAATGATCTGGTGCAGAGCCTGTCAGACACCTGCTCAGGACCAGAAGGTCAGTCACACCTTTTTCTTTTATTTGTATCTTCAGACAAAAAGAGTGGGTTGGCAACACAACACTTGTAGGAGGCGTAATTGCACTACCTGATTTCATTCTTTTTTTCACTTATGGAGCGAAGCCTGCAAGCTAGTTCAGGCAGTCAACTCGAGCTGCTTGGATATACACACATGACATTATTCCATAATCACTTACCAAGCGCTCCCTTCCAATCTGGCGGTATATTTAAGCTGCAAAATTTCCCAGCTCTCCCTCTGCTCTGTCAATGCCACTGTTGCGCTGCATCCGTATTGCTGCTGCTGCTCTGTAAATTATTGCTGCCTTGCATTGATGTGACTCCTGTCAACTGTTCAGGAGTCTGATTGTCTTGTTGTTTTGCATTTCAAACTTCTGTACCTCCGGCCTGAGGGTAGAAGTGTGAACAGTCCGTGTTGTGGATGGGTGGGTTCTCTGAGCATGGAGCCAGCTCTCCTGTGGACTGCTCTGCAGAGAGGGCATTGGTGTCCTGGTGATCCTCTCAGCAGTCTTAACCAATCTCTGCAGGCGACTGCGGTCCGCAACCGTAGTGTGATGCAGCTGGTTATGGTGCTCTCAACCATGCAGCTGTAGAAGTTGCTGAAGATCCTGGGTGACATGCCAAACTTCCTCAGCCTCCTCAGGAAATACAGCCATTGTTGGGCCTTCTTCATCAGCTGCGAGGTGTTCAGTGTCCAGGTAAGGTCCTCACTGATGTGGACACCCAGGTATTTTAAACTGCTCACCCTCTCCACTTCAAGCTCCCGGATAGACAGTGGTTGATGAGGTCTCCTCTTCTTCCTCATGTCCACTATTATCTCCTTTGTCTTGTTTGTGTTGAGGGAGAGGTTGTTGTCATCACACCATGCCCCTAGACCGGCCACCTCCCTCCTGTAGGCCGCTTCGTCACCCGCAGTGATGCGACCGATCACTGCAGTGTCATCTGCAAACTTCAGGATGATGTTGTCCTTGTGGGAGGCGACACAGTCATGGGTGAACAGGGTGTAGAGGATGGGGCTGAGAACGCATCCCTGAGGAGTGCCAGTGTTGGTGATGATGCTGGCTGAAGTCCTATTACCAATCCTGACAGACTGGGGCCTGTCAGGATTGGTAATTCCTTCCTTCCCTTCCTTCCTGCCTTCACCGCTCAAGCAACCTTACAAGGTGGCTGTCGATGCCTGTTCAAAACACTGCACATGTCAATAAATAATTCAGAAAATGTCCTTGTTGTCGTATCCTTATTAATCTGATGTCAAGTCTATCTGAAGTTAGTTTATACTGTCATACAGTCTGTAAGTAAACATACAGTCTGCAGTATATGTTTAATGCGGTCAGCCGTGGCAAAGCGTGATACGCCCACATCATCTGGTGATAGCCTACAGCATTTTACCATCATGTCCAATCACGTTGCGTCTACCCTTTTATCTCACCAATCACAATGATATTCTATACATGTCAGCACACTCTGACAAACTTTCAAATCTCATTTTGCAATAGGAATAGAAATCGGATAACGTTAAAACTTTAATCAGTAGAGGGTTGACACCACAGGTGGGGGTAAGTCACACGTGCAAGTCTCAAGCAAGTCCCAAGTCCTTTTTGTGAGAGTTGAGTCAAGTCAAGTCAAGTCAAGTCATAGCTTAGGTCAAGCAAGTCATGGAAATATAATAAGCTGGATGACAACCGTCTTAAAGTGCTGGTAGTGCTGGTAGCTTGGCAAAAACCAAACAGAAGATCCAAGTTGACAGCATGACCATCTCTGTCTACCCGGATTTCACTGTGCGAGTGGCCAAAGTGTGAGCGGCATTCAACGGCGTCAGGCGGATGCTGAAGGACATCCCAGGAGTTAGGTTTGGACTTCTTTTCCCAGCCCAGCTCCGCATTTCATTTGACGGGCCGAGTCGTTTGTCACTGATCCTGAAGCTGCTTGTACGTATGTTTCCCAGAACATTGTCCGCCGTCAATGAGGACTGACTGCCGTGGTCACAATGGTCATTCACGAAGATTGTTAAGGTGATATTTTTTCTTTCCCTTCTGCTTTGCATTATGTTTGATCATAATATAAGTTAATTAGACAACAAGGACTGCCAAAGCCACATTAGTCATTTGTGAGGACTGTCAATTTATTTATTTATTTTTATTATTATTATTTTTCTCTTTTCCTCACTGTGTATTATACCCGATCATAATATAAGTTAATTAGACAACAAGGACTGCCAAAGCCACAATAGTCATTTGTGTGGACTGTTAAGGTGATATTTTATTTTATTTTATTATTATTATTTTCCTCACTGGTTTGCATTATGTTTGGTCAATATAAACTTAGTTATCTGGATGATGGCTATCTGATTAATGGTTGGTCTAATATGGCAGCTTGTCATTCTTGTTACATTTCCTTAATCTCATGTTTTATCAATGTTAGAAATGTTCCTGTGTTTATTAGCATTTCTAATTTCCTGCAGACTGCATACTTGTTTAGTTAGTAGTTAGGCTACCTGTAAAGCCATGTGCTATTGCCTCTGTTTAGGGGTTGTTTATGTGATCTCCAGTTCAGGGGGAGGTCGGCATAGGGATATAGGGTACATATTTACTTGTTTCTTTCTTTCTACACAGCGCACTCTGTGCTTTTTTGAATGTATTTTTTTTGTCTGCTCACCACTAGAACCTTTTATTACTGCATCACCCAAGTGTTCACTTAAAATACTATATGACTTCACAAAGTAGCGGCGCGCTCTGCGCTACACGTCTCGTTAGTTGGAATATAAGGGGATGAATCACCCAATTAAACGCACCTGCGTCTTCACACATCTGAAATCCTTAGGCCCAGACATAATTTTTTTACAGGAGACACATCTTTTGGCTACCAAGCAGGCTGGGTTGATTAAATATTCTGTTCTAACTACGGGGCCAGAACCAGAGGGGTGGCAATACTGATTAAAAGGGGGACCCCTTTTGTCCCATCTCAAGTTATCTCTGATACTAATGGATGATATATCATAGTCTCAGGGAAACTGTTTGGCACTCCAATTATCCTAGCCAACGTGTATGGTCCAAACCGGGACAATCCATTGTTTTTCTCACGCCTTATAGCCAAGTTACCAGATATCAATTCACATCATCTAGTATTGGGAGGAGATTTCAATTGTG